TGAAAAGTGTGCTTCTTTCTGAAAATCATTGTCTAATGTATCTGTATCAATGCAGGGTAACTTAAATTAGTTGTAACGGTTTGGTCAGGCCTTCCCTGAAAGCCTGTTAAATTTCACCTGAATTAATTTTGTTCAGCTTGGTAGCAAGACAGACTGGGATAAGTCAAATATTTCATTGCCTTTGTAGGAAGCTGAACCAGCAACTTGAAGAATACGAAAAAAAATGAAAGAAAACCTAACATGAAATGAAACACAAAAAAAACCTGAAGCCAATTCCTCCTGTATTATCATATTAGCTTTAATTAGTGGTTATTTAGTTCCAGGCAAGGTAAGGTTGCTTGGGAGTAAATTTGTAGGGTGAAAACTCTTATTTATTGTGGTAATTTGTTTGTTCCAAAATATTAGTAGGACAATGCAAGTGTCAATGTGAGTAAAGCTTTTAGTCCTGACAATTTAATCTGAATGTCCTTTCCAGAGTGCCTCACATACATGCTTACAGGAACCTAAAGGTCTGCTAGCAGAACAAAATCCTGTGATACTGCAAAGCTGATAAAGGGGGGGAAAAAAAAAAAAAGCTGAATGTGCATACAAATATCCTTTGAAATAAGAGGATTTATACTATGTTTATTATGCAAGCTGCTGCAGCAATATGGGCTTTTTCCAAAAGAGTTGTCTTCAGCTTTCTTTGAGTCACACTTAGTAGCTGCTTGCTGCAGGGTGAGTAAATTCAGTTCAGCTTACCTCACTGTTACACAGCTGCAAGGTTGAGGTGCAGAAGGGAGAAAAGACCCTCAGCTGCAATGTGGCTGTCCCACTTGATGAGATGCTGCAGCCATGTTGTTTGCAATGGGTGTAGTGCCTGCCTGTCTTTGGAAAGCAGGGTTTGCGCTTGCTAGGTGTTAGTACAGTGTGCCAGGTAGAGGAACTGACCTGGCTGAAAGTAACCCAGAATAGAGGAGAAAAGGAGTGGAGGAGGAAGTGCTTAGCCAGGTGAACTTCCTGATCTGGTTTGTTTAATAGCTTCAGCTCTGGTATAGGGAACCATATTGTTCTTGTTTTACTTCTTGCAACAGCACAGTTTTGCCAGCTTCAAGCAGTCAAAGGCAGAAGACATGCAGGACAGTTTGGCCTGGTTAATAGGAGTCTCTCCTTACCTGGCTCTGGCCAGTAGTCAGTGCCTGTGTGACCTGGTTCATTTTGCAGACAATCCCCTGTGCCTCTCCTCCTCTATACTGCTGCAAGGCCTCGTGGGGCTGCTGAGCTGAACCAAACGCACAGTAGGAGCTCCACAACAGGGTAGGTGTGAGACCATCCCCTTTGGTGGCCCAAACTGAGAATGACTGCTGTCTTCTCACGTTTGCACGGTTGTTGCTTCACCATTCCTCCCACTGTAACACTTTGCTTCCATGAAAAATTAAACATAGCAGTTTTAAAGCTTTGAGAGCAATGATTTTAAATGAATTACACAGGCTTGGCTGCCAGTGCATCTTTTACTCTATTGCAGTGTGCCTTGTAATTATTCCTTTGTGCTTTGTGAGTGCCTCATCTTCCCTTGCCTGCAGGTTTAGCTGCTCGTTTCCTGTGGTTATTGGTCTCTTACATGGGTATGTTCTAAATCTTGATGCCATGCAGATTCAATAAACGCTCTCTGACTGGGTGTCATGACTCACATAAATATTCCTTCGCTCGGGGATAAAGAGGCCGCTACCCCTTTGAGTCTGTAACTGTTCTACCATCTTGAGTGGTATGGCTTCTAGAAAGATAATCTAAGAATAGCTCATTTAGTTTCTGTGTTCACTGAGCTTCCTACATAGAAGACAACGAGCAGAGTAGTGTCGCACGCCTCACAGATGTGTTGGATTCCTTGGCTTAATTGATGATTTGTAAAGCATTGCAGAATGCTGGTCCAAAGTGTAAAGGAATCTGTTTAAAACAAGTAACCAAACCTCCTGACTTCTACAGTTAATCATAGAGGGTTTTCTGAGTGCTTTGCATTCTGCGTGTGGGTTTTTGTGAAACAAGTTCAGCATTGGTTACTCCAAATTCTTAATCAGCATATGATGACTTTGGGAATGGAAGTGAGGATTAGTTTTCATTTTAAGGTACGGATCAGCTGTAAGCCCCAGATATGATGACATGAACCAAAATAGCACATCCTTAGTTCATTTACTGAGGTTTGTTGAAATCTCTTATTGCTGAAGTAATATGACTATGGAAGGAGATTAAGTTCATTTCTTCTAAGAGGGAATTATTTTCTAGCCAGCTTTTCATTATACTAACCTTTCATGTCGTGTTGCTGCTCTTCTATTTCTTCATGTAAGACCAAAACGTAAAGTTCACAATAACTTCTGTGGTCACAACCAGTTAACATGCCAGTATCTCAAAAGCAACCACAGTGTTGTTCTCTGTTAACTTAAACGTGCATCTAATCTTCTGCAGGCATACCTTTCTTAGGTGGGTTTGATCTAGAAGAAAGCTGTATTAACACACATTCCATACGTGCATGGAGCCATTCCTGGAATCATATGCATTATATGTGTGAATGTTTATATATAATGTGCATAAATAGCACATAAATATAGAATCAAACTAGACAATGCCAAGAGAATATGTTAAATTATTCAAGTTCTACAAGCATTGTTTTTGCAGTAGTGAAACTTATTTTGGGTCAGGTTTGACTTTTTTCTTTTTTAAAGTAACCTACAGTTCTCCAGGGCAGAGGGACTGTTCACATACTGTGTCTTCATACTGATGCAGTCTGTTTTTGTTCATCTAAAGGGTGTTAAATTAGAATTGAGATGTTATAGAACAAAGCAATTATACCAGCAGTGCAATGTAATGTAGAGAAACAAGCAATGTTACCATTAATATTGTGGAAAGTCCAAACATCAGACATTTTCTGCAATTGCTTTTGAAGTTCTTAGTCTACAATACACAATATTTTGGCATAGTATTAGTAGGAAACTTCCTACTGAGATGATTAAGATCGTGTAACTTCTGTCCCTGGATAAGGGTGTGGGTTACTCCTTGCTGTCTCCCTGGGTATGGCTGTACCAGCAGAGGAATTAGAGGCTCTCTCATCTGCTGGCAGTTCTCAGGGGAGTGTTTCTTAACCCACTTCTGTGGAAGTAAGCCAAAAGCAAACCACTGAAATTATTATTTCCTAAGTCAGTTTGAATAAAGTATTGGGAAAGCTCTGGCACATTCAAGCAGAAGAAGGAGAGAAGAGTGGTGGTTGAAATTTAGGCAAGCTCATGAAAGTCTTCAGCTGACACTGTGGAATGATTATCTGAAGGACCATAAACTAATATATGTATATTTTTTAGTATTTACTCACATAAAGAGATTAAAGTTGCATTTCATTTATGAGCTTCAGAGGTCTGATGCCTGTCTGCTGTTAAAATGTCTGCTTTTAGATGATGCTTCTAATAATCGGGGCTGAGGGACTGAGCTTTTAGAAGAAAACTGATGGATATATGATTTGACCTCCCCATGGGATGGTTTCTCTTTCATAGGTTTTTTTTGTTTTTTGTTTTTTGTTTTTTTTTGAAGTTTTCTTTTTTTATTTAATTATATGGCAAATAATATTGTCAAGCACTGCAGAAATAGTTTAGAAAGCAAATGCAAAGATGATACAAATGTAAAGTAGATCTAATCACTGCAAATACAGATGCTAATAGTTGTCTATCTCTGTACCTACATTAATTGAAAAACAGCCTTTTGTGTGTTTGGTTATGTATGAAGAAAATGTGTTGTTTTTTTTTTTTCTGGCCTTGGAAATTTACTACTAATGACAAACTATGCAAACAGATCATCACCCACTGGGAGCATTAAGGTACAAAGAGAGAAAGCGTTGAGCAGTTGGAGTGAGGCAGTGATCTAATCGTGTTGACAGTCTGAATGTCAGTTTTCCTTAGGCAACGTGTCTCCTTTAAGAAAAACTAAAGGAATGTTTCATGGAGGTTTTACAAAGTGTTTCTGATCTTAACTGTAGACCTGCAGAAAGCTATGAATGGGAACCATTTGGGAGCTTAAGCGACAAGAGTGGTGTCATTGACTAAATGGTTATGGGGCAGAGCTTTTCTGATCACTTTTTAGACCTAGAGGGCTCTGAAGAGTGAGGGCAAGAATTGTAAGTCTGATGTAAAGAAGCAAGAATTATCGTAAAATCATAGCATATCCTGAGTTGGAAGGTGCCCACAAGATCGAGTCCAGCCCTGGCTCTGCACCACATCACCCGGAATTAAACCCTATGTCTGAGAGAGCTGTCCTAACTCTTGTTGAACAACAGTTTGTGGCTGTGCCCACTGAACAGGGGAGCCTGTTCTGTGCCCTGTGGTCAAGGACCTTGCCTGACCCTCTCCTCATGCAGCTCCATGCTGAACAGGGCAGCTCCTCCCCTCGCCCAGTGTGCAGTGCTGGGCCTGGTGCCCCTAGGGTATGGTTGGGCTTTTAGCCTTGGCAGCCAAAATTAGGCTGTAATTAGAAGTCACGCTGATTACAAAGGAAGGATGTTTTCAAGTGCGTGAGGTTATGCACTGATATGAATCTTAGCTTAACTTCTGTCACATCAGGTAAACAAGGGAAGAACCCAATTTTCATTAGCCTGTATTTTAGGATGTAGTTGAGTATGACATTTGCAAATGTCAGAGACAACAAGTTGCACCATTTTTTCTTAAGGTCTATGGAAATTCCTTGTCCTCAGGCCAAAATTAAGATTCTGCTCTTTACTTCAAGGGCTGTGCTTCCTAAGCAAGGGCATCAGCACAACTCCTGAAAAAATCAGTGTTCCTAGCTGTATCCCAGCTATAATACAGAGATGGCCAGTGTACAGCTGTGTAGTTGTTGAGTGTTATTGGTGGTTAGGCCCTGGAACGGGCTGCCCAGGGAGGTTGTGGATGCCCCGTCCTTGGATGTGTTTAAGGCCAGGTTGGACGGGGTCCTGGGCAACCTGATCTGATTGTGTATGTTTGGTGGCCCTGCTAGGCAGGGGGGTTGGAACTACATGATCCTTGAGGTCCCTTCCAACCCGGGTGATTCTGTGATTCAGTGATCTGTGATTCTGTGGTTGTGTGGTGTTTTAATACAAACAGTAAAGACAAACTTGAGGAAAAATGTGCTGCTGCTTGGTTATTGAGCAGCGAATTCAGAAGATGCTCATCCACATGTGCACTTGTGAGGAGAAGGAGGGTTAATTCAGTGAGGCACTCCAAGCTATACTGTCTCTGCTTATGAGTACTAAGTGTTTTAGACTGGTTGCTTTCTTCTAAGTTGAATTGATGCTTTGTTGGAAACAGCTGCAGTGGGACTGAGATGATGGTTACTCAGGAGGTTGCAGGTTGTTCTTGTATGCGGCAGGTACTCTACCTGCTGATGTAAAGCCAGAATAAGGTTGTATCCTCATCATCAGCCTAACTTCATAGGTCAGGCCTGATGTACATCAGTCTTAAGAAGTGACCATCTTTAAAAAATAAGATCTCCAGAAGGAGATACTAACATTTATAAATTTTAAATGGTCTTGGCTTTCTTTAGGGGCTTGTTTCATCAAGAAAGTTCAAAAATAATGCAGGCATTAAAATTGGAGAAGACTTCTGAGATCACCGAGTTGCACAGTCAGCCCATCCTTACCATGCCCACTGACCATGTTCCTCAGTGCCACATCGTGGTTCTTGAATACCTCCAGGGATGATGACTTCACCTCCTCCCTGGGCAGCCTGTGCCAGTGCCCAGCTACTGTTTCAGAGAAGAAACTTGCTAATATCCAACCTTTATCTCCCTTGGCAAACCTGAGGCAGTTGCCTTGTCCCGTCATTAGTTGACAGGGAGGTGAGGCTGATCCTCACCTCACTCACTGCAACTCCTTTCAGGTCACTGTAGAGGGTAATTAACTCTACCCTACACTTCTCCAGACTGAACCATCCCATTTCCCTCAGCTGCTGCCCATCAGGCCTGTGCTCCAGACCTTTCACAGCTTTGTTGCCCTTCTTTGGACGCATTCTGGTGCCTCGGTGTCCTTGTAATGAGGGGCCCAAAACTGAACACAGCACTCAAGATGCAGCCTCTCCAGCACAGAGTGCAGAGATACAATCAGCTGATTGTATTTCTGATACAAACTGGGATGCCATTGGCCTTGGCCACCTGGGCACCCTGCTGGCTTACGTTCAGCCAGCTGTTGACCAGCACCCCCAGATTCTTTCCAGCTGCACAGCTTTCCAGCCACTCTACTTGATGCCTGTAGCATTGAGTTTTTCCTTCCTGCTTTTTTTTCTCTGATTTTGCATTCCTACAAAAATAATACGATAAGGCAGGGAATCTCTTCCAGAGAACCTCTTCCAGTGCTCTGAGTAAAATGGTACAGTTAGGCTCCTAGCATCCAGAATGAAAGAAGCCTATGGCCAATTCTGGATTTGAGAGTGCTGAGTGCTTTCAATATTTTATTAGCTCTGTTTGAATAATGTGAAAATGGCTATGTGCACAACATTTTATCTCTGTCACAAAAAGGACAGACAGTGTTGCACAGGCACAGAATTTTGCTGGTACAAATACTTGTCTTGCTGTTGGTGTTTGGCAGCTTGACTGAAAACACAAAATCTTTGCTTCACGTTTGCTGTTCAGATAGAGATATACACAACAAATCGTTATCTTTGTTCATCAGATGCTTCAAATTCTTGGAACTCAGTAAACAAAAGGAAGTTGGTATGAACTCCCATCGCCCTTCCAAAGAGTTCTTTACAGCAAAGACATTTTTTTCAGAATACAGATAACCCCTTCAAGCTTCAAACACAGACTGTAACACTAATGGAAGTTTCTCTCACAAGTACATATCAACCTGAATATACATACCTCGATAATAAAACTTCTTTCTCAGAGTATGTGGATGTGGTCATTTAACACCAGTAGGTAGGTAAACACCATCATTCTGCTCTCACACTCCTCTTCCTCAGAAGGACAGGGAGAAAATGTGAAACAATGTCATGTGTTAAGGTAAGGACAAGGACGTCAGTCACTAGTTACTGTCACTAGCAAAACAGACTAGAAGAGTGAGAACTGAAAGCCAACTGAAAACACCACCTCCCCTACCTCTGGTACTTCCCCACCCTGTCAGTGGCACAGGGGAGCTGGGAATGGGGCTGCAGTCAGTCTGTAATGCTTTGTCTCTGCTGCTCCTCCATGGTTTCTCTCTGCCCCTCCTCCACATGGGGTCCCTCCATCCTTCCCTAACTGATCCTGTGTGGCCTTCCTGCAGGCTGCAGCTGTCCAAGCACTGCCCCGGCACAGCTCTGTACCACAGGGCCCACCCTTTAGGTACTGCCCCACATGGGTCCCCATGAGCAGCAGCTCCCCCAGCCCTCCTGCCCCAACACAGGCTTCTGCCCATGGGCTACAGCTTCATCCAGGGGCTGCTTCTGCTGGGGCTCCTCCGGGCCTCATCCGCTGCTGCACCGTGGGCTCCTCCATGGCTGCATGTGGAGGTCTGCTCTGTGTGGAACCTGCGGGCTGCAAGAGGATGCTCGGCTCCTCCATGGGCCTCTCCTGTGCTGCAGGGAGCTTCTGCTCCATGCCTGGAGCACATTCTGTCCTCCTCCTGCACTGACCTTGATGGCTGCAGGGCTGCTTCTCTCACATTTTCTCACTCCTCTCTCCCAGCTGCTGTGATGCAGCAGTTTTTTCCTTCCTTATATCTGCGTAGCTCTTGGCTCAGCTCTGGCGTCTGTGGGACCCTTTTGGAGCATCTGGAGTTGGCTCTGATCTGACATGGAGCAGCTGCTGGGCTCTGCTTACAGAGCCCATCCCTGCTACAGCAGAGAGAGATGCTTGTAAGCCCATGGAGCACATTAGCCATGAAAGCACAGTTCTTGCACAGTGTTACAGCTTCCCTGGACTTCTGCTGAGCCTTGGAATCATCAGAAAACTCAGTATAAAGAGTGATCTGACCATTCAGTTTGAGCAAATCGGTTATGGCTTTGGGGTCTGATAAACTTTCCTGTTAACATTCAGATCCATTTTTCTCTCCAGAAGAGAATGTTTCAGGAGAGATTCAGCTGTCCTGTATTTCTCAAGCCAAATGTTAGCAGGCGAACAGTACTTAAGCTGTGCTACAAAAGTGCATAATATACTAATGTGTACTAGAAAGGGCCCGGGGAATGTAGCAAATGACCTCAAATTCTTTGCCAAGTGAAGGATTTTCTATTTGTCCTTGGTGATATCATGTATATAAATTTAAATAATTTCTGCACTTTGGATTTTTTGTCCTTGTGAAATTCCAGACTCAAGTTTATGGAAGAACTCCAGTGTTTGGCTTGTTTGGGAGTCTGCCCTGGAATTGCTTCAGCAAACTTTCTGGAAGTAGATGAAGGAGGCAATCATTATTGAAAAGTAAGAAGTGAAGTAAAAATCGATTGCATACACGTAGCCCTGTTAAAATGGGAATACGCAGTAAATGAAGAAAGTACAATTGATTCAAAAAATTGAAAAGGGAGGGATATAATGATTGTAGCTACCTGAGATGATTTCTGTATCACAGAGTGAAAAAAACCTCTTAGAATGAATAATTGATGATCATTTGATAAAGTTACTGTTGTGTTTAATAGTTATATTCCCCTTTGAACTAATATGACAGGCTTCTCATACATAATTTCTCACCATTTTAAGTATGGTATGTTTTGTGCAGGTGAAGGCAGTGAGCATGGTCAACTGAAGTCTGCAAGGCACTAAATGATTAAATAAGTGTTGTTTATGGTTTAATCTGGTAATTCTAGTCTTCATAAAATAGACTTTTATTCTGCATGTGTGTGCTACAGGACAGCAGTGCCTTAATACTGTAAACTGAACGGATGTTTGTGATAATACTGAACCTGCAAAAATGTGGAACCAAACTTAGGTTCCAAGGAAAGACAAGACAATGCTTAGTTCTGTGTTAGGACTTGAAAAGATTAATACCTATTAACGGAAGGAATAAAATCTTGTACTAAGAGATTTTCAAAAGTCTTTGCAGAAGAGTATTTCATTGTCAAAATACTAGGTTCAGCTGTAAATAAGCTGATGTGTCTGACACTTCATAACTGCATTGCTTTCCTTGCCTTGCTTTTCAGAACAGCTTTAGCTATTATAGTTCTTACAATTATAAAATTTTATTCTTCCTGGAAATAAGAAGTGGAGCAAGAAGATAGCTCCCTATCAGCCTCTTGATTGTACAGTGCTTCAGCATGTGGACCAGAAGTCTGCAAGACCACTTCATGGTCATATATGTTGCCTGTTTTGTCCTTGGGGCTGCTTGTTGCTTTTTTTCATCCTCTTTTTCTTGTTTCTTCACCAGGTTCATCCGTAAGATTCCAAAATAAGTGTGTCTAAACTCCAAGGCTCACCTTACAACAGTTTATAGAACTGTGGGAATGCATGGGAGACTTCAGATGGCCTAAGTGGACGTAAATTGTGTGGCTGTGGAAAGGGGTCATCCTACAGTTCCAAGCCACCACTGGTGCAGCAGTAGCATTTTTATGGTAATGTAATGAGTTAAGTCATTCATTGGGCTGAAAACTAACACTAACTAACATAAAACTGCTTCTGGCTATGAGGTCACAGTTACACCAGTGCTGGCACCAGGGGGTGCAGGCAGGAGAAGACCTCAGGAAATCTCTAGTCCAAACCAAAACCCATACTCAAACCAGGGTCAGTTACAAAATCAGAATTTCAGAATTTTACTTGCTCTTAATTTTTTAACTCTCCTATGAAGAAAGGCTGAGGTTTGTTCAGCCTGAAGAAGGTTCTGGGGAGGTCTCATTGTGGCCTTCCAGTAAACTGGAGGGAGACCAACTTTCTACATGTGATGGGAAAAGATTGAACAATTTTAAACCAGAAGAGATCTAGCTTAGATGTTAGGGGGAAGTTCTTCACTCAGACGGTGGTGGGGTGTTGGAACAGGTTGCCCAGAGAATTTGTGGTTGCCCCTCCCTGGAAGTGCTAATGACCAGGCTGGATGGGGCCCTGGGCAGTCTGAGCTGGTGGGGGCAGCCCTGCCCACAGCAGGGGAGTTGGAGCTGGGTGGGCTTGAAAAAGGTCCCTTCCTGCCAAGCCGTTCTATGATTCTACTTAAGAAAACATCTGTTAGAGTACATTAGCAGACTTGAAAATCTTTCATAGTGGTTGTTCTACAGCTCACTGTATGCGTGAGTGATTTAATAGAGCACTCCTGCAAAGATACTGCTACTGATTAGATTTTCCAAGGAGAGAATGCTTTTCAACATAAGGTTCAGTCTTAGATGTTTTATGTGTATATCTGTAATCTTCTCATTTAATTTAATGAACAGTGCAGCATGCTAGTGGGAGATTAAAAATTGTCTGTGGGCCCAAGTATTTTTGTACTCTTCCTTTCCATCAGTCAGCATTTAGTGCACAGTGCACGCTTCCAAAGACTGCAGTTCTTTCCTTAGTCAAAAGATATCTCAGTTTTCGGTTGTAAGAACAGTATGGGCTTCAAAATGAATTACATTTTTTATTTGCATAATTGATTGGGAAAGTTTAGAGATTACTGGGATAGTAGATAGTTCCTAGAAGTTCTAGCAAAGTTAAAGGGGGAAAATCAATTGATTGTATTTGTTATACGTACAGCTTTTCTACATCTATAACTACTTTTATTAACACTAACTTTGCAATGTAAAAGCTATATATTTCAAATATATTCTATATTTGAAACAAAGTAAGTATCATGTATAGACAAATCCTTTAAAGTCAGAGTACTGTCTTGCCTTGTATAAAAAGTGCTCTTAAAACAACTTGTGTCAGAAAATTAAGCATAGTGCTTCATAATTTGTGTATGTTCCTTTTACATACTGCCTAATGAATATTTATATATGGATGCCCAGACAAACAAGGCATACATCTCAATACTTAATGCTACATTACAGCAGTGTTTTTCTCGTGAAGATTTGGACTTCTTACTCTGTAACTACAATTCCAGTGCTAATTGTAACATTGACCTTCAGGCACTCCTACTTGCACAAATGGATCAGTATGTGTTTAGAAGAAGTTATGTTTTTTTGCCCTTGATTTGCATCAACAAAAACGGCTAGGTTTCTGTTTTAAGGTGCTGATTATGTCCCTGCTGATGTCAGGGCCAATAATACACTTCTGTTCTCAGGGAGTTTATTATTTTGTTGCTCTTCATTAGAATGGTGAGGGAAAACTACAAAGTCTTCATGTGAGTTGAATACAAAGATACAGAAGTTTGCAAATAGAAAATAATTTATTGCTTTCATAGTATAATCAAGCTTCAAATTCTGCAGGGGTGTCACCTTCAGACAATTACGAATGTGAGTTAACTTCTATGGACTCTATTTTCCCAAAGGTGTTTTTTATTAGAAAGGTTATAGATGTTAAGCATCTTCTTTCCTTTTTTTTTTTTTTTTTTTTTGACAGGAAATTCTGGTGATTAACAGTCATGGCAACCATAGAGGAACTGGCCCATCAAATTATTGAGCAGCAAATGGGAGAGGTACATACATTTTTCATCATATTTAGGAGACAATGAATAATAAAATGGACAGAGTAAGATGTAAAAACCAAAATCCCAAGAGAAACTAATTTTTAGTATACTGCAGGCTTCAGGAGACTCTTACATAGAAGATGAACTTACTGTGTCCGTCTTAAAGTTATACTGCAAAATCTGTCTTGCCAAAGTTTCCCCACAGCAATGAAGTTACAGAAGTGTTTTCAGTAAGTGACGAGCTGCTCAGCTGTGCCTTTTGGATGTGTAGTGGTCTTCAGAGAGCTGCCTCATCATATGATTGCTTAGCTCACTTTCACTTAGGAACTTTACCGTCAAAGTTGTCACTACAGAGCTTTTACGTTCCAACTTAAGAATTGCTTCATTTGTTGTCATTTTTGTTCTTATAAGTAAAGCCTTGCTGTCATCTTCATTGTAAAATATTGGTTGACATTTGGCGTAAGTCAGAAGGAAGACTGAACTCTTGTTTCTGCTAACTCCTATTTTTCATTTTTTGTAACCTATATAGTGAGTCTGCATACTGCAGCCAAAGAACTTCCAGAGATGTACAGGCAGTTTGGAAGTGTGAATACTGGGCATACTGTATGATCAATGAATATTAAGATGTTATAATTATGAAATAAACAAGAGTGTTTGACAAAGCAGACTATGATAGCAAAAGATAATAAATAGAAGGCTTTCCCCTATCCTGGGCTCACTCACAAAACTCCAGCAAAGCCAATCTCCAGAAGAGATCCTTCCTCACTGGTAACCAGCTCTTAAATAGGTCTAGGAGCCTTCACCTGTGCTCCTCTGGCTGACTCATTGCTTGCCTCAGGTGATCAATCAGAGGTTCAGGCCGTGATTCAGCAGTTCCCATACAGCATACATACTTTCATCTTTAGTGCTGCTTTAAATTAGATAGGAGCAGAAAACTTTTATTTATTGGCTTGAAATATCCACTCTTGGTTCCCTGTCTAGTACTGTAGATAGGATGAATTTTCAAATAATTTCAGTTCCTCTCAATCCTGATTTCAAATGTAACAGTTGGGGACATGCTGCATGGTAAATCTATTCTGTATAAATTCTTACGGTTTTCAGTATTGTAGCATCTGAGAATTACTAAGGCAATTGCAATTTTTTTTCTTTCTCTCACTTTTCCTCTTTACAGGGGGGAATGCTGTGTCTAGTGTAGCTTTGTTTTGGTTGTATAATTCCTTGGGGAAGTTTAGGTAGGGCTGTAATTCCTGTTTCTTGTGCTTTGGAAGTTGGGGGTTAGTCAAAGCTAGCTGAAGCATGTGTCCTAGTTGGAGAAGAGGATGGCAATTTAAATTATGATGCTTAGCTCCTGTGAGAATTGTTCTCAATTTCCTAACATGGTTCCATGAGACAGAGAGCTGATCTGGTGTCCCAGTGCCAGAAGAAGGGGAAGGTCTTTCTGTGTTCTGCACCAGCATCTGGCTGATACAAATGGAAGATTTTCTGCTGAAGTGATGAAGTTGATAGGTTTGGAGAAGGATCTAATGGGTACCAGAGGCAATTTAAAGGAGATGACTGGTAGCCATCTCTTTGTACTACTCATCATCTTTTGCTGAGTTTGAGATAATACACATTTCTACATCGGGGCACATTACTTGATTCTTGTAGGAAATTCATTTGATCTGTGAGAGCTCAACCTTTTGGCTTGCCTCAGCTACATTTAGTGAATAGAAATTGAAATTGGGCCTGCATATATGTAGGTCACACCAAAAGTAATGCCTCCCATTTATTTCCATGACTACTGCCCTGCCAGAAAGGGCTTGAGGGTACTGGTGGATGGCAAGCTGGACATGAGGCAGCAATGTGCCGTTGCAGTCCAGAAATCCATCAGTATCCTGAGCTGCATCAAAAGAAGTGCAGCCAGGAGGGTGAGGGAGGTGATCGTGCTCCTCTGTTCTGTGCTGGTGAGACCTCACTTGGAGTACTGCATCCAGATGTGGAATCCTCAGTACAGGAGAGACATGGAGCTGTTTGAGAGTGTCCAGAGGAGGGCCATAGTAATGATCCATGGAATGCAACACCTCCCTCTGAGGACAGGCTGAAAGAGCTGGGGCTGTTCAGCCTGGAGAAGGCTGCAAGGGGATCTGAGAGTGGCCTTTCAGTACTTGAAGTGAGTCTCTAAGAAAGAAGGGGTCAGATTCTGTTTGATAGAACATGAGGAAGTGGTATCAAACTAAAAGAGGGGAGATTTAGGCTGGATATAAGGGGAAAGGTTTTTACAATAAGGATGTTGAGGCACTGAAACAGATTACCCAGAGAGGTGGTGGAAATTCCCACCTCATTGTCCCTGGAGGCATTCCAGACCAGTCTGGACCAGGCTCTGAGCACCCTGATCAGCTGTAGATGTCCCTGCTCATTGCAGGGGAATTGAACAGGGTGGCCTTTAGGTCCCTTCCAACTCTAAGGATTCAATAATTCTGTGATTCTGTTTTCAAATTCCTTAATCAATATGGAAAGCACAGCTCTGTATTCTTTGCTGTGCCCTGTGTTTAGCCAGTGTATCTAAACAGATACAATGATTTGCCATTGCTTGAGTCAGCTTTGCACAGTGCTGCCCTCCCCATGCCCTGCTTTCAGTCAACATAGCATTAATAGCACACTGACTGATTGGGCTCTGCAGGGTCGAGCCACTGCCTTTACAGCATGGGGAGGGGGTGGGCTGCGTTGCCAGCCATGCTGAACCACATGCAGCCTGTGGGCCATGAGTTGGACATGCCTGATGTAATCTGTGGTTCTGTATGCTAGGTATATGGTACTTTGTTTCCATTGACCTTTCAGATAATAGAGGAAAGTTGCACATTTGTCTAAACAGAATCTCCCATATTCAAACAAAATATAGTCTTTAACAACTTGTGTGGCTATTCTGATCACTATTTATTTATTTATTTATTTATTGGACTGCAGTGACATCTTTATTCTGTATAAGCTGTCAAGCCGATGTTGTTTTTAGAGGATAATGGGCTGCTTTACTTTTTACCACATGTAAATTGCGACACTTCAGGGAGCAAGCATAAAGCCATTTCAGAATACGTAGCTTATTTTGTAAAGTAGGGACAAGTTTGCATAAAAATATATTTGCCTGAAAGTCACCACTTGTGCATGCAGTTTGAAAGGCTGATGTGGAATTTGTGTGTGTGCAGGTACTTCTTACAAGCTCTCAACATTACTGTAGAATGGATTCTTTTTTGTCCTTTGCTTAAGCAAAGTGGACAAATCGTGTCACTTCTGAAAGTGTTCACCTGCATGAAATATGTGGTATTTTTAGCAGGCAGTGTTCCAAGGTATTTTGGGTGGTAGTTTGGCAACCATTTCTTTTGGTGGTGCAGGTGACTTAAGCAGCATCCCCCCTGTCCCCAGCAGATTAATCCCACTGTCTCATTTTCAAGGCCAGGCTGGATGGGGCTTTGAGCAACCTGGTCTAGAGCGAGGTGTCCCTGCCTATAGCAGAGGGTTGGAAGTAGGTGATCTTAAAGGTCCCTTCCAAGCCAAACCATTCTATGATTCTATTATTCTGTGATTTGCTCTGATGTATCTGCTTCTGAGCATTGTGGAGATTTGGCCTGAAGGTTTGACCTGCACTAAAAATAGCCCATATCTCTCTTTTGCTGCACTATTTTTTGACCTTCCTCAGTGTCACAGAGTCACAGAATGTCCTGTGAGTGTCCTGTTCCAGATCAATGAATGACTAAACAACACAACGAAGCTGAAGGGACAGGATTTCAGCTTATAACAGCTGAGACCGGTGCCAAAAGCAATGCATTTCTAGGTAAAGCTCAGTTGGTTGGAATTTGTATCTGTGCTGGAAGGGGAAGTTTTGCTTCCTGCTTTTTCCCCTTCAGCATCAGAACCTGCAGTCTTCTTTCTCCTTTCTTATGCTGACATTTCCACTTACATGGTGGTGCGGTAGTGCACTCAGGAAGCTGATTCAAGTGGAGCAAAAGTGCTCTTAACCAATCATGAAACAGTACAGATGTGGATATATATTCCTTATACCAGTTCTTGCAGAAAAAAAAGTTGAATAGGTACTTTTTTAAGTGAATGTATTTTTAAGTGAATGAATTTTTAAGTAAATGCTAGGAATTACTATGAGAGGAACTGCAGGATGTGACAGTTTTGATCTGTGTAGTCATGCTGCAAAATGCTAGGGGAGTTACTAGGGACACATAATTAAATGCAAAGGTATCTGAAAACTCTGTGAAGACAGATGTCTTTTGTACTACAAAAAAAACCCCACGTTTCAGACCAAGCCTCTGTAGATGGCAACTGTATTTGTTTTTTGCAGGCAAATAATCTAATTAGTAATAGCCACATACATTTGGCTACAGAATGTGAAGAATTTTCAAAAATTACTGATAATTATTAAAGCACTTCCATAAGCTGTATTTGAGAGCAGAGGCTTAAATTTGTTTTTGGATGCAATGCTTGCTGAACTCATGTGTTTAATTGGTAGGTTCTTACTTGGTAGTTCCCCAGTAGAGAATTCTGTTGCTTTGGTTCTGTCTCTCTAAGGCTCTGTGGAACAAAATTCTGTGCATTGCTGTGTCTCCACTCCGGAAATTCTTCAGCTGCTTTATATAAGCCGTTAAGATAAAAATATGTTAGTTTACATGTAATGCAACTATGATGAAAGGTACTGTGTTCAGTAAGTGCTTCATGAACACCAGCAGTAATAATTCAAAAATACTCGGTCCAATGGACTGAAATGGATTTGTCAACAACTGTTCTGCTCAGTGTTTCTGAATGTCTAACTGAAGGCGTTTTTAGAATGGCTTTAGAACTCTGCCATGAACAGAGCTTCTTAACCAGCAAAGTTACACTGTTGAATTAGATTGAATTAGATGCAAATGCAAACACTTGTGTTCCTGGCACATAAGTGTCACCCCTTTCCTTAGCCTTGTGCAGAGAAATCAGAAGTTGATAAAATCTTATGGTACTACATCCATTAAGGTAGTATATCTCTCCTTGAGGTATCCTATCCACTGCCAATCTGTTACATTTATTTATTCTTTCTAGATTACCCATTCCCAAGGAGCTGTTACACAAACACTAATGGATGGGGCAGCACAACGAATACAGATCGTCCCTTCAGATTCAGGCCTCTCTTTACCACAGCGTATACAGGTATGCTTCATCCAATGTATTTTAAAAGCAGCAATGAAGTCTTTATTTTCACCAAGTTTTGTTTATGGTCCTTCTTTATTTGCTTCATTTTACTGTCTGAAGTGCAAATACAGTCCTGGGTAGCAGAGATTATTTATTTATAAACAGGAAGAAAAAGATTATTCCAATGCTTGGTGGTTTTTTTTCTTTTAAGATTTTTAAGAGGTACAAAAATAATAACTGCTGAATAAAAAAATGTTATTCCTAAAACTGTAATAATACTGCTCTTTAAAAACTGAATACTTTTTAGATTTGGTAATTCATCTGAGTTGTTGGAACGTTTCAATATTTTGGAGCAGAGATGGGAGGAATACTGCATCACACTGTTGATACAAGTCATGGGAAATGAAAAGGCTGTCTAATCTCTTCAGTGCATTAAAGGATGCTGGCTTTTGGCCATCACAACCAATGTTGTACATCCCAGTAAGCTAATTTATAGCCTCACCAGGTAATGAATCTCCAATTCAAGCGAGGTAGGAGTTTTTTGGCAATGAATGTGGGTAGTCAAACCACGATAAACATAGATGTGTATATATGGAGGTTAGCAAGATTTGGGGGATGAGATTTTGTATTTTGTTCCTTAAAAGTCAGTGCAAGTCCTTGCAAGCTTTTTATATTTCCTCCTAGAGAAAAATATCAGCTGCAGAAGAGATAGGTGTTGGTGCATACAAAACCACTAGTTTGTGAGCCAGCTGCTACTGTAGCCTCGGCGGCTTTTACTTTTGCTGCTTCACTCTTCAGTGTTTTTCATTGTTTATTCCTGTTTCAGTGCATTGCATTCAAGCTTTGCCCTGCCTTTCAAGAGTCTTCACAGGCATCCCATACATGATCCTGTGTTTTATTTTCTTGTACTCTGGTCCTGGTACCAGCCTTACCTATCCACTAGATCATTTTTTCAGCTACCTCCACTCCTTTTAAATGGTTCATGTACAGCTGTACCTTTAATTAATTTATATTAATTAAGTGCTGTCTCTTTATACTGTTTCCTTTGTCACTGTACGTATGCTGTTGTGCAGCTGAACACCACACAGCCGTTCAGTCGCTCTCGCAGTGGGATGAGGGAGAGAATTGGCAGCAAAATAGAACTGTGGGTTGAGATAAAAACTATTTACTAAGACAGAAGAGAAGAATTGAAAGAAATATGTGATGATAACAATATATATATATAGCCATAATACAATTATTTACCACCCACTGACCAACATTTAGCAACACCACAACTGCTTGCCAACCCATGGCCCAGCTACAACACAATGTCTCACCACTCATCAACTGATGCCCCACCAATCCCTGAGCAGTGGCTGCCCTCAGCCCTTGTAGTGCAAAGCTGTTTAATGTAATTCCAGTATCAGGGCCTGAGTGCAGGGTGACGTATAAAACCATGAGCCTTTATTGTTGAACAGCAAGTCAGTTACGTTGTTTCAAAATCGATGTCAGTTGTCTAAACCCTTGTGTCAGCTTCTGGAGCAGGGTTCAGGTGGAAGAGAGAACTACATTTGGAGAATGACTATAGCTACTGCAAATATTATGCACATAGAAGAACTGTTTATAGGGACAGTTTTGTTCTGGGGATCTTTATATAGTTTTTGATCATCACAGCTAGCTGGAAGATGGCTTGTTTCTATTGCTTTGTCCCTTGTCTTTTTTCACCACACTCAACAATTCTTGCTTCAAAGGGGATGGCAAGTGCTTTGGGATAATGGTTTTCTTTTGATATGTTTGGGACAGCACTTGGGAGAATGATGTCCTTCCTGTAGTAGGCATCTACAAACATGGCAGCCATATAAATAATAACAGACTCAATAGGAGACAGAAATCAGTAACAAAAACTTTCGACAAAGCCGAATTTATAGTGAAAAGTAAAAAAGCTTGTACAGCCAAATGCATCTCAGTGAAATGTTAGATTAGTTTTGAGCTTATAATTTTTTTTTTTTGCTTTATCTGGTTATTCTTAAATGAATATAAAGAGATATCCCAGATCTTGAAATTCAAAATCATGATTAAAATATACTTTAAAACATATTTCAGTAGTTACTCTTTTTAGGGCACGTTAGCACTTTGTTTCTGTGGTCGTTTCGCTGTGGTAGGCAGCTCAGCACCTCTGTACCGCTCTCACTGAATTCTTCACAAAAAGATGGGGAGAAAACACGATGGAAAAAAAAAGCTTGTAGGTTGACATAAGGATGGGAAGATCACTCTCAAGATATTGTCACAGGGAAAGCAAAGAGATTAATATAATTTGTTTGCTACTGATAAAAGACCACAGCAGTAAGAACTGACAATCGGCTGAAAACACCTTCCTCCCCATCCATCCTCTTCTACCTTCTCCCTTCAAACAGGGAAATGCAGGTTGTGGTTCATAATGCTACGTCTGTGTCATCCTCCATGGTTCCTCTCTGCCACTGCTCCATGTGAGGTCCTTCCCACCAGATGCCATCCTTCCCAAACTGATCCCATGCGTGCTTCCCTCAGGCTGCAGCTCTCCAACCATTGCCCCAGTGCAGCTCCATACCATGGGGCCCACCCTTCAGGCACTGCCCACACGGGTCCCACCATGGGCTCCTCCATGGCTGCAGCGCTCTGTGTGGTACCTATGGGCTGCCAGGGGATGCCCTGCTCCTCTGTAGGCCTCTCCTGTGCTGCAGGGAGCTTCTGCTCCATGCTTGGAGCACCTCCTGCCCTCCTCCTGCACTGGCCTTGGTGGCTGCAGGGCTGCTTCTCTCACATTTTCTCACTCCTCTCTCCCAGCTGCTGCAGTGTGGCAGTTTTTCCCTTCCTTGGCTCTGCTCTACCAGAGGCACACCCAGCATTTCTTTTGGCTCAGCTCTGGCAGCAGTGGGTCCCTTTTAGAGCAGCTGGAGCTGGCTCTGATCTGACATGGGGCACTGCTGGGCTCTGCCTATAGAGCCATTCCCTGCAGTGCCCAGTTAGAAATCCTTGCCACTTACAGCCAACACATAGGAAAGTTGGATGTCATGTTATTAAATTTTCAAATCCCTGGGGTTTTTTTTTAAGCTAGTGCTCTGTGTTTCAACATGTTTTTGATTATTCCTAGAAGAGTAACAGGATTATTGCAATATTTAATTTATTGAAATTATATTCAAACAATAGTCAAAATACATTAACAGGCAAGGCAATGAAGGAAAAAGAAAATTACTATCTTACCATCAGGGCTTTTAAATGAAATAGACACAAGAAATATGTTTTTAAGCAGTCAGTCCTGAGCTATTATATTCCTGCTTTATAGCATGATCTCTTTAGCAACACTGAGTTTCACATTATTAAGAAACATAATGTGTTGTCTTTGGGGCCAGGTGGATTTTTCTTTTCCTTTCTGATTATTTTCTCTTACCTCAACATTTAAAGTACCTGAATTCGGGCTATTATAAGGTTGTTATTCTTTGAGTTGTTCCATTTTCTAAGTCCCATTGAGATTCAGTTGGAGTTTTTGCAGGCATCTGACTGTAAGAATTCTGCTGCAGACAAACTGCTCTTGATTATTTAAACTGCTTTCTGTTACATCTATCAGTTGTCATACCTGGAGAGCGCAGAAAGCTTGTGTGCAGATTGAATAGCTCAGCATAGATGCCTAACAATGTATCCACTATGTCATGCAGCGAAAACCATGTGGGCATCCCCCTAGAATTCCAGGAAGCAATTTGAAGAATTAAGACTGTTTAGTAGCAGTGAAGTGAACCATGTGAAGTAGAAATGGCTCTTCTGCCATATTTATCCACAAATACGTAACAATTTTAAAAATAAGAGGTGGACTATAAGCTGGAAATCAGATAATTCAGCTCATATATATGTAAGAAATTCAACCTTAGCTTGGAATATGTTTTTTTTTTAATATACTTTGTGTAAACCTAACTAGATAAGGTGTATGCCTTTCTGTTTTCATGTTTACATTTGCACTTTGAAATTTTGATAGTGAAACAGATCTTCAATGTGAGTATCTTTTAAAGAGCAGGTCTAGATATTCAAGAAAGAGCACAGTGTTCTGTGTTTGACTTTGTACATGCTAGCACCCAGTTGAGGATTACATGCATTGGATTTCTTCTGATCCCAATGGAGCAGAGGTGTTTGGAGGTGGGGATGGAAAATTGGGTAATTTATTCAGTAATATTCTGGGTAATAGTCAGAAATGACATGAGAAATAAAGATTGTAAAATGAAAAATGGAATGTGAGGAATAAATTAGGTAAAGAAAGGAACTGAAAGAGTAAGGAAGTTTGCCTTCTAAGGAATCAGAAAGGAACTGAAAGAGGAAATAAAGGACTGCAGTAGTCATTTGTGGCCCTGAATGTGTGCATGTCTTTGAAAACCAAATGGAAAACCCTTTATTCATCATATTAGTAACTGCTGTGGGGTTTTTGTCCTGCCATGCTACCCTCAACCCCAATCTCGTGACAGCTCTAGTTCTTGTTTTATATTTTTAGCCCTTGGAATTTTATAATTCTAGCCTAAAAAAGTTCTTTGCAAAGAAAAAAAGAAGTTGGACACCTAAAAGTGTTATTAGCAAGTTTGATTGATCTGTAGTTAAAAAATAGTTTGCAGCAAACAGTCACTGCAGAACAATTCTCCTTAATGCCTATACTAAGCCAGGCAGTCTGACATGAAGGCTTTTGGAGAGAAAGGCAAGAAGTGATAAAAGTGAGTTTTGTAATGGAACATATATGGAATCTTGATTATTTTATCCAAGGATTAACCTTAAAACAATTATCAACAAATATCAACAATATTATTAACAATAATCTGAAAACAAATTTTGTTTAATCTAAAAATGGGGGCTTATTGGAGAGTTCTTTAATAAAAGTCTGCTATATTTGTGTTTGAAAATAGGAAAGGTGGAAAAGAAAAACCCAAACCAAAACCCAGCAGCCTGTAGGTTTGTTCTTGATTAAGAAATGACACATGAAAAGTTTATTGGTTTAAAAAAAAGAAAAAAGTGTCCGGGAGAGAGATTCTGTTTTACTTGCATATTTTATTTAGGAACATATATGTAAAAAAACCAGAGCAAAACCCCGAAGCACAAATTGTTTGTAAAGATTCAACAAGATTTTTTTGCTGTTTGATACTTTTCTTTTTTCACTTTGATGTGTACAGTTGGTGCTGAAGGATGTTTGTTGTGAAGCATCCCAATATGGAAGGTGCTAAGGGCTGTGCATGGCATGCAGTGAGTCCAAGAATTAAGATTTCTCATAACCTTGTGGGTCTTAGGGCTGAGTTACACACACCTCTATTTCTGGATGCTGTAATTGTCAGCAGATTTGGCAGTGGTAAAAGCATTGGCCATTTATAAAACTTGGATTTTAATTCAGGTTTTGATTTCAAACATAAGAGTGACTTGAGTGCATTTAAAAGCAAGTGAAAATCCAAGATTTTGCCTTAGTTTTTGTAACTCTTGTGTGACAGAGGGGAAGACAGTCCTGCTTCACAAATGTTGAGGGCAAAATTCCAGTTTTCTTCAAGTGCCCAGGCTGGGCCCCAAAGGTGATCTTAAATTACCATAACAATTTGAGATAAATGTATTATTAGATTGTCACAGATCAGCAGACGGGCCAGAAGATTCAGATTGTTACAGCACTTGATCAGAACTCAGCAGGCAAGCAGTTCATCCTAACAAATCATGATGGCTCTACCCCAAGCAAGGTGATCCTTGCCAGACAAGATTCCACTCCAGGAAAAGTTATCCTAGCAACTCCAGATGCTGCAGGTGTCAACCAACTGTTTTTTGCATCCCCTGATATATCTGCACAACACATCCAGGTAGATAATCCACTTTATTTCATAATTTTGATTCAAATGGAATAAGAAGAGATGTTTTATTTCCAAATATGTATGTCTGCGTTCTCCTTTTTTGAGGTTTTTATATTTTTGAATGCTCTACTTTCCCTTGCATTAGGAGTTAGCATTACTGCTTAGAAATTACAAGGAAAACAAATTTTTTGGTAAACGTACTGCTTTTAAAATTTATACCCTGGCATGTGAGATTAGAAAGAATACTGTTACTTTTATTGTCATTTCCAGCTGTACCAACAGTCCTTTTTTATTGCTGCTTCACTGACTCTCCCTCTATATTCACATATTGAAAAAATAATCTTTTCATCCTCGTCTTTATCACTTAACATTTCCTTCTACTTGTTTTCCTTTTCATATGCCATTGTTCATACACTGTCCACTACTGTGTGAATTGTATTCCAAGGCAGTTTCTCAGACTATGAGCAGGGAAGATCATTACTCAGTGGCAGTGAGAAGGCAGCACTAAAGATTCTGCATTTACAAAACCCAAAATGGTTTCAGAGTGTCAATAGTCAGGGTTATATCTCCCTAAACTGATCCACGGTGCTCTTCACTCCTGCACACACGGTTTGTGCTGCTTCCTTAGACTTCATACTCCAGCTTTCAAGTCTTCTGCCCCATATCCCCAGCTGAGCAGTGTGAGATGGCACTGATTCGGAGGGTGTGAAGAACATGCACAGAAGACCTGGGAGATGTGAGCTCCTTCTGTGGGAAGTAGGCTATTATTGCACTTCACATAGTTACTGCATGTTGATTTACCAATGTACATTTATTCAGATGGTAAAATACATTGGTGTGGCAGTCCAGGTGACAGGAGGGTAGCTGCCATCTCCTTAGTGCAGTATCTTACACCTGCACAGTGGCCAGAAACAGGTGCTTAAGTAAGTGTTAAAAACTGTGAAAGAAAATAATGATCCTTCTGAGCATATCCTTTCCCTTCCATTACTCGATGATTTAGAGGGACCTCCTGACCTGGAGATTGCAGTGAGGCCTTCTTTGATAACTGCCACTAAAGTTAATGACTTCTTTGTTATTTCTAAGAGACCATTCTAACAGACCATTTGTGTCTTGGTCTGTATAATAGCCTGTGGCAATAAAACTAAAAAAAGTAAAAAGATTCTATTGCTTCTAAAAATCACTGTCATGGCTCCTTCAAGTAATCTCTTTTCCCAAGGGAAGAGTCCTGATCTTCTACTTTACTGCTTTTCTGGGAGCCAGTCCACAGCTCCGATTCGCATGTTGCACGTGTTGTGCAAGCAGTAGCAGAAAGCAGTTCAATTGAAATTTCAGCCTGTGTCTTTGTGTTTTAGGTAAACTTTAACAAAACTTTAAAATAGCAGGGTATGATCTGATGTAATCCTCAGAAGAAAGTTATTTTCAAAGAGAATTTAAAAGATGAGAAGTGTGTACCCTTGTGTAAAGGCTGAGGTATCGAGAGGCAGTCTGGATAAAAAATTACAAGCTGTAGTTTTGATTGTACATTTTGGGCAACGTGGGAGGGTCTGAGAAACAACAGGATGTGCTCTCACTTCAGTTAGATTGTTCTGTTGCCAGCTAGTATGTAGTTGCAGAGATTGTATTTCACTGACTTTCAGTGAGGATAAAAAATAGTGCCATTAATGTGCTTTTCAACTCCATATTCTTTGGGCTCTTCCATACTTTCTGTCCTACACAATCTTTTGTCTGCAGTTTTGCCTTTCACATCATTCTTCTTATTTCATCACCTTCACTTGAAATACTCATTCATTTGCTATGCAGAAAATCTCTCCTTCACATTTTATCTTTACATTGACACTTTGCAAGGCTCTTTCTCCCATCATCTGTTCCACCCTCAGTGGCTCTTTTTCTCAGTAAACAAGTTTATTCTACGTGTTTAAAGTCAGTTGGTGAGTTCTGTGTATCTGGGATTTTTATTTCCTCCTGGGCCAAATTCTGTAGTCCTTCCTTATGTGGAACTTACAGCTTCAGGGCAGCAGGTTTCATCTATGGAAGGACTTAAAATAGGTTTTCTTCTTTTATATAAGCTCATGAACTTTTATAACAACGGGAATTAGAACAAAATGAAAGGTTAACATTCTTTTAACTTGTCATGATTATTTTTCTTAAGAAGATGTTATATTGAAAGAAAAACATAATAGGTGAATTTCTGAGGCAGCATTATTAATTAATAAAGGCTAACTAGAAAGAGAGAGACTTGTTAAACATTCCCTTACATAAGCCTATGCTGTTTTCCAAACGAGTGATTTCTTAATTGTCTCTGTGGAAGATGAGGTACTTCTCTTCCAGAAAGTTACCCTTCTTGTTATCAAAGGTCTTGTCTTGAATAAGCACGGAGAGGATGAGGGTGTCAGACTTCCTATTAAGATGCTGTAGAAGTTAGAAACTCATAGCATTTCTAAATTATATCACTTTTTAATTGGAAGAATGTGCTGTTTTCCACTTCGTGTTATTGTCAAGATGATATTTGCTTGCTGCTTCTTGTTGTGATCCTTTGGATTCCTTTTTTACATTGGTTATTTTTCTGTGCTTTGTTGACTCACTGAGATGGATCTTTTTAAGGTCAAATGGAAGGCCACAGTGCCTGCCCTGTAGCACTGTGGTTCTGATGTGCTTAATGATGCTTTTCAGGTGCCAGAGAGAATGAGTAAGACATGAACGTAGTCATAATGTCAAACTGTTACTAAAAACCAAAGCGTGCATCATTTGATAATTCATGGCACTGTTAGAATTCATTTTCTATCGGCCCACCATCTCTGTCTATTATTAAAAAAAAGATTGACAAATCAGAATGTAGAAATAACAGCCTCTACGTGGCAGTCACAATTCACATTCAAAAAATAATTTGCATTCAGTAGAACATAAATACAGAATTCAACAGAAGGTATGTATTCAACAAAACGAGTATGCAGAGAATAAATGTTTTTGGAAACGTCAGCCCATTTTCCAGAGGTAATATTTAAATAAATCTTGAATTCTTTTTGGAAACATTACAGGTAAAACTGGGAGCACAGTGCATGGCAGGTAGCTCTGCTCCTTTGTGTCTATGAAGGCTGTAAAACATAGTCAAGAAAACCTCACAGTTTGTCGATTTGGTCCCTTAGAAGAAATCACAAAGGTGATTTACTGTGATATTTCATGATGGTGAGAAAAATAAAAATGACATTATGTTCTACTTTCTTTCAGATTTTAACAGACAACTCTCCCAATGAGCAGGCCCTAAATAAAGTGTTTGATCTGTGTGTTGTGTGTGGAGACAAGGCATCAGGTATTTCACTTCCTTTTTTTTAATAAGGTAGTGCAACTTCATAATAGCAGTTCAAAGTTCTTCTTAAGGGATATAACAGTTTGCACACATATAAATAGATGTATGTACATGCATAAACAGAAAAGATAGACTGCCTTTTTCAGCAGAGGATTAAACTAAATGTTTCTTTAATGTCTGTGGGTGGGACTTGTTTACTTCTGTTTTACTTTAGAAATGCGAAATATGTTTTCTACCAGATAATTTTTGCCTTTTTTTCCTTAGGCTAATACGTTTTATTTTGTATTGTAAAAATTGGCTGAAAAAATGACTTAGGTGACTTGCTGTTAAGAGCTTTTTGTTACTTAAAAGGAGATCATGCAGTGAACTGTGTTATTGTTGTCAAGTCAGAAACAGGTGAGAAATCTTTTAATTATTTAAAATATGAAACCAACAGGTAAAGAAGACATTGTAGGTATGTGAAAAGAAATGCTAATGTGAGATTTCTGTGGGACAGCTCACTATTTGAAGAACCACTATTAAAACTGCAAAAATGCATTATAGTTCCGGTTAAAAATGAACAGTGTATTCACTGGCAAAATAGAGTGCTAGGTAGGAAAAATGTGTCACACACTAAATTTTGCCTAATGATAACAAGAGATGGGAAGGAAGTGTGGTGGGAGTTCTTTACTGAAGAACTCTGATGGTTTTCCAGCTGTCTCCCACATTCCTCTTGCATGTGTGCCTGCCACCAGGTATTTCAAATCTGTCAGAGCTGAAATTACTGAGAGGGTAGAAGGGAGCTGAAATTACTTCTCTTGGAAGGGAGAACTGAAAGCTCCTTTCTTTTTTCACTTGGTAATGTAGTGTAAGAGAAATGAGGTGTAAACTTGACTCTTTACTTATTTAGCTACAATTAGACTATGTAGGGAAAATGATTGCTCCCTCAGAACATTCTTATGCTTTATCTGGTTGAAATCTGTGTGATGATCCTCGAGTAATAATATCGAAATGTGATAACTGCAATTAAATACTTTCTTTTGGGAAGCAATGGGAATGGGGGGCAAGGAAGAGACGTAGATAACATTAGGATTCCATCATGAAAGCCAGTAGAATGTAGCAGAAGCTGCTTAAATAGAAAACAATCTAAAATCTTTCTACTGAAGCCAAATTTAGCTTAAAATTGTAGCTCCTCTAAACGTATGTCAGATTTCACCCTTCACAAAAGAAATTTCTGCCAAATATAGGGTGTAAGATAAGGTATATGTAAGATCTAGTTGGAGTGCTCCAGCTGGGAGAGCTCCTATGGATCCCAGCACAGGGCTGGAGTATCCCATGAGAGTGATTCCAGGAGCAGTTTGCCCTGGCCTGACCCATACATACTGAACCCTGGTAGTGAATTTAGGCAGAGCCATGATTTCCTGAGCGGCTGTAGGTGCCTCCTGTGCGGTAAGAACTGTTACACAGACTGCTTTGCAGACACCTCCAAACTGAGTGCAAGAAGCTGCATCAAAGAGCAGATGAAGAAAGAAGGGGACAGGCTGTTCAGCAGGTCTGCTGTGATAGGATGAAGGGGAATGGTTTCAAACTAAAAGAGGGGTGATTTAGATTGGATACAAGGAAAAAGGTGTTTTACTATAATGGTGATGAGGCACTGGCACAGGTTGCCCAGAGAGGTGGTGGATGCCCCATCCCTGAAGAAATGTAGGGTCAGGCTGGAGGGGCTCTGAGCACCCTGATCAGCTGTAGGGGTCCCTGCTCATTGCAGGGCAGTTGGACTGGGTGACCTTCAAGGGTTCCTTCCATTTGAAATGCAAAGCCCAGGTGCTTTGCAGGATGGATATTATGAATATGGATATATGTGAATATTTACTCACCAGCCCAACTGCTATTAAAATGTTACACTTAGTGATATTTTACGTATGATGCTTTGTAAATTTCATATTTAGTCCTATGTTAATACAGTTCTGATAAAGGAATCTAGAAAACCTAGAAACCAGAGTTTCTGGAAATTTCAGGCATAAAAAAGTTTAAGAGGAATGAGGAAAGAATCTAAAAATATATTTTCCCTTAAATTAGTTCATATTTGAAATGTATTTCTGTAAAGTGCCCTGCACAGGTCAAAGAACAGCCTTGATGCCTCCACAGTATGTATATTGAGTGTTCATAGGTGATTTTGGTTTAATTTTTTTCTTTGGGATCATAGAATTGTCACTGTTGGAATTTAAGAATGCCTTAATCAGAACTTGAGCTTTTTAGTGGTATTTATAATTTGTGCTATGGAAGAATCAAAGCAATTTACTTCTGAAAAATAATTAAACTCGACTTTCTGTAGTACATCCTAGCAATTTCTATATGTTGGTATTATAAATTAGAAAATTCACTACAGATTTTTTTTAAAAATTGATCTAGCTCTATTAGTTTATTTCTCTCATTCTAGAGTTTTACTGAAAGAATTACTGATGTAACATTGTCTGTTAGGAAAGTGAAAGGTGAAAGCAGGGCTTTGGAATTATCACTTACTGCTGACAGATACGATGTTTGCAGATTCCATCTTCCACTGGCTATAATGTGTAACATTTATACAGCTGAATTTGTAATGAGCAATAGCAGCACTGGACTCCAGGGGCATTAAAAAAAATGGAAAAGAATGTGTAAATTCAGAGTTTATTCTGTGTTGTTGCTAACTTGTTCTCTTAGCTTTTTAACACTGCTGTCAGGAGGTTCAGCAAGAACTTCATAAGCAAGTTGGTTATTTGCCCTTTCGAGATAAGTATCCAGCTGAAGTGCTTTGAACTAGAAATACGTTTCACTTGTATTTTTGTTGTTCTGTATCCACGTGATTTAAGGTCTGTAACCTATGGAGGAAAAACAAGAGTGTTTTGAGAAAAGGTCTAAAGAAGAAGAGATAGTACAGTGTAAAATTAAAGTCTTAATTTATGTTATTCCGAACCCAGGACGTCACTATGGAGCAGTAACTTGTGAGGGTTGCAAAGGATTCTTTAAAAGGAGCATACGGAAGAATTTGGTGTATTCGTGCCGAGGAACAAAGGACTGTGTCATTAACAAACACCACCGGAATCGCTGCCAGTACTGCCGGCTGCAGCGATGCATCGCCTTCGGAATGAAACAAGACTGTAAGTCTGGAAAAATACCCATCATTTCAGCTGGTTGGTTGGCTAGGTTGTTTTTTTCCTGAGTTATAACTATGAACAGTCAAAATGGTTATGAAAATTGAAGGTTAAGTAAAAAGAACAAAGATAATGGACATTTCTTAGACTGTAATGTGTGATGTGACTTACTAGTTGCGTGCTGTTTTATTAGCTGTGCAGTGTGAGAGGAAACCTATCGAAGTGTCAAGAGAAAAGTCTTCAAACTGTGCAGCTTCTACAGAAAAGATCTACATTCGGAAAGATCTTCGCAGCCCATTGGCTGCAACTCCAACTTTTGTAACAGACAATGAAACAGCAAGGTAAGTGCATTCTACTGTAGACAAGCTACCTCTGTTTCTTGAAATCACCCCAGAGTTGACACTTGTGCTATTTTGTGCCAGGTCAACAGGTCTGTTGGAATCAGGAATGTTCGTTAACATTCAGTCTGGCATTAAAAGCGAGCCTACAGTGCTGATGACTCCAGATAAGGTATGATGACATGACTGATGTACTGATGCTTTAGGTTTGATTGTTATATGAAAGTGTGTGTAGGGACGGAAGGTTGTTCTGTTTTGCTATGCTTTTGATAAATTCAGTTTTTAAAACATTGCCCAGTGTTGCAGATGTCTCTCTTCAGAAGAATGCTGTTAGCCCTTCATAGAAAGAATGTGAAAAGCTCTACAAAGCAAATGCCTCCCTCCTTTTAGACAGCTTTAAGGGCAGCTCTATTTTTCTTTGTATTTGGCAATTCTGACGCTTTGAGGTTTTTTGATTCAAGTAGAATAAGGCGTTTGCAAAATCTCACATGGCTGTGGCGTTATCACAGTGCATTTCATAAATATTGTTAGTTTTTTCCCCCTGTGTTGTTTTTCTTCTTTTTCTCTTTTTTTTCCCAAAGCTAATGAGAGCTGTCTCAGTAGTGATCTTTTTTCTGATGTATTTCCAAGCTGGGCTTTCCTTTGTTTCCATTGTGTTATGGGTACTGATCCACTAAAGTGATGTGGTAATGGCCCTACATATGCACAGTAGGAAGCTTTTGTATTTTTCTAGCCAATATTAAATCACCTCATACTGTTTTTGTGCATTTTGCCTCCCTCTGTCTTCAAAATTTTACTACTTTCTTGATGGTAAAAATATAATCTAGTGCAGTTTTATAATCCCAATGATGGACTAGTGAGTGGAGATGCTAAAATCTCTCCCTATAGCTTGTGTCTGTGGCATTCTTTCTGAAAGCAATAGATAGCTGTTACTTGTAAAACCAAGCGTCTAAATATTTCATATTTTAGTAACAGTGCAGTGTCTAACTGCTGCATGATGATTGCCCACTTATTGAAAGTAATAATTTTCTAACAGGTCTATTCTCATTAGCTCAGTTCTTCATAAGTGTAAAAGAGTTCTTCTTTTTCAAGTTATCTACTGCCAATAAGAAAGAATTAAAAGCTGTATTTTTCTCTTAGGTTGAAGCCTGTCAGGGAGACTTAAGTACCCTGGCAAATGTGGTGACATCTTTAGCAAACCTCAGTAAATCCAAAGATCTGTCACAAAGCAGCACAGAGCTGTCTATGATTGAGAGTTTAAGTAATGGAGACGGATCGTTACCTGAACTTCAGCAAGAAGAACAAGGAAGTAGTGATGTTACAAGGTAAAGCATGTTCCACTTGAGATGTTACCCTTCTCAAGAATATCTCTGTCAGTTCAGAGATAATTAATTTAATTATCATGGTTTAGGTGATTTGCCTGCATTAAAAATAATAGTAGTGACAGCACAAACTCATGTTACGGTTCAGTCTTGTAGGATTCTCCCAAAGGAAATCATAAGAAAGTTCAGTTAGAGACAGAAAATACTTCTAGTTATTTGTTCAGTTTGGGTATTAGGCAAAGGCTCTTCGGCAGAGGGTGGGGGGCATGGCACAGGCTTCCCAGGGCAGTGGGCAAAGCTCTAAGCTGCTGGAGTTTAAGAAGCATTTGGACAATGCTGTCAGATACAGTCTGATTTTGGGTGGTCCTATGTGGAGCCAGGAGTTGGACTCGATGATCTTTGTGGGTCCCTTCCAACTCAGGAGATTCTGTGATTCTGTGAATTTCAACTTAAATCTTTCAGCTGATGTTAAGGAGGACTAAAAGGAAAGAATAAGATGAGTTCGATTTTTGTACTGTATTCTTAGTATTAAGGGAAACTGTTTCTTGAAGATCTCATCTGTAAGTAGTTTATTACTCCTAAATGTTAATTGCCTTAAAAGCTTGAAAAGCCTTTTATTTAGAGGCAGAAAAACTCAAAGATATGCTGATACAGATGCATTCATTATGGGTTTGGGTCTGGGTCTGTTTAGCCTTGAGAAAAGAAGACTGATAGGGGACCTGATCCAGGTCTATAAGTATCTGAGGTGTGGGGAGCGGAATGGCGAGGCCAGACTGTTTTCAGTGGTGAGTGGAGACAGGACGAGGGGAAACGGCGGGAAACTGCAGCATAGGAAGTTCCGCACAAATGTGCTCAAGAACTTCTTTACAGTGAGGTGACGGAGCACTGGAACAGGCTGCCCAGGGAGGTGGTGGAGTCTCCTTCTCTGGAGATGTTCAAGACCTGCCTGGATGCCTACCTGTGCGACCTGCTATAGGGAACCTGCTTTGGCAAGGTGTTGGACTCGATGATCTCTGGAGGTCCCTTCCAACCCCTACAATTCTGTGATTCTGTGATTGTGTATTTAAAAACTTCTGTCTTGCACAGGTTTTAACTCAACATAATGGGAAGTATCTTTTATAGTACTTCCTTGTTTATTCCTTCAGTGAGAATCATGCTCTTCCTTGATTGTCACTCCATCAGGCTTCTGACAGCTGTCTCAGAAGTATTCTTTTACACTTCATCTATATTATACATGTGGTATTGAAAATGTGTATGTAGAATAAACCAATCCAGAAAAAAAAAGATTAGAATGTAATGAAGCAGTTTATACTGACCCAAAATACATGGTTTTCCCTATAGTCCAGTCACCTACTCAGTGTAATGTCAAGCAGAACGCATTTGTTCTGCTCCTTTCTCCATATGTGCTGCTTGTAAAGTTGATGTGACCTGTATTATAGCTGCTGGTCTGGACTTTTGCTGTGTTCTCCTAGTTAAATAATATGCAGTGTAAGGAGTGCTATTATGTTGTGCTGATAAACATCAAATGGCTGTTCATAAAGGTGCAGTTAATAGTAAGCTTGCATGATAATCTTTCGTTTCTTTGGTTCCAGGTGCTTGCTTTTGTTCAGCTTTAAAAATGCACCTGTGAAAAGCCATTGAGTTCTCTCAGTCAGAGTGTGCCGGAGCTCTGACTCAGTGTAGGCATGCCCTTATCTAGTGGGCAACCTCACGGATTTCCAGTGGGGACTTTCAGTTCAAATACTCCTGTAAAAGGGAAGTTGTTACCCAAGCAGAAAGTACATTTTTAATCAAATCTTAGATTTCCTTGCCAGGCCTTGTGCCAGCTTGATCTTACTGATGCGGATGTGTACTGACAAAAATGAGTTCATGGGATTTCAAAAAGCAGGTTCTATCTATCAGTGTTTTGCATGCATTCTGTTGTCTTCCTTTGCTTGCAGATACAGTAGTTAAGCTTTCAGTTTTGCTGGCACAGATTTAGTATAACTTTGTTTCAGGTATTTTGCTGCTTTTATGTTATAATGTTACATGTTTTGTCCTCTGATGGCTTCATTGGCCACGTTCGAATTTTACTAATCAGAAGTCCTGTCACATGTCTGTGACTGAGCTCAAGAAAAGACAACCACAGTTGTTTCTAACAGAGTGTCAATACCACGGATTTTAACACTGATTGTACCTTTTTTTGTTACTTAGTGAGCCTTGTTTCGGTAACTTCAAGGCAAGCTGTAGTCTGGATCCTCTTTTCCTTAGTGTTTTATATTGCAGCCATTGTTCATTTTAAAGCATAGCATGTGAAGGGAACCCACAGCATGGAACTGTTGGGGAGCAGAACTTCTGCAAGCTTTCTTCTGCAAATTTAGGAGGAAGGAGGGAGAGGACTCTTTGAAAGCAGACTTTCAAGAATAACTTGGAAGAAAAGTAACATGGGCAGATGTGGTTACAGAGTGTACATGCCCAACATATTCAAAAAAGACCATTTAAGCTAAACTAGAATAATATGTAGAGACACATAACACTACTTAGTGGGGAGATCTTGTTCCTGGCTTACATTTCTGTCCCTGCTACATGCAAGAGCTCTGAAGAGATCCTCTTTTTCTTAAGCAGTTGCCACAACGCTGCTTGTTTTGCCTATTGTACTCAAGGCTACCAAGAGGGAGCCACCAAGACCTGAGACTCAGATTTCCTCACAGGATACAAACAATGTAACTTCAGAGCTTACCCAAGAGTGTCTTCTCTTTATGCCCACTTTTGACATATTTGAGATGGAAAGCTTCCCAGGTACATCTGTGATGCCCACTTGGGCATGCCTCAGTCTCCCTTCTGTGCAGGAACCCAGATGGTAGGACCCAAAACCATTCCAGCTCATTTACCATCACCTGAGACAGCATCACCAGCTAGGTATTGTGTTGTTTCTTTGGATTGTAAATGGTTGTACAGAACACAGTAAGCACTTTTTAAAAAAAAAATTTAAATTATTTTTTAGTGTATTAATAAATGTAAATAGCAAAGGAGTATGGAAGAAGAGAAGGTAGGTAAAGTCCTACTTCAGAAATCAGGTATTTTGATTGGACATTAATTCAGTAATTTTAGATTCTGTGGCAAAAACATATGCATTCAAATTGACAATCATCTCCACACCTGTATGCACACCTGTAATCAGCTTTTGTAAAGCCCTTAAACATCAGTGTGAGATTTTCTTGTGCCAATGTTCAAATGATACTGCTATCAGAGTATGTCATCTGCCTGTAGGCAGTAATCAGGGCTGTGTCTGTACACAGATCAGATTTGCTTCTCAGGTGTGTTTGTGCACAACGTGGATGTGTTATCAAGCAAGGAAATAAAGTCATACATCTGTTCTGACCTGGACAGGCTGCAGAAGTGGGCCCATGTGAACCTAAGAGGTTCAGTAAGGCCAAGAGCAGGGTGCTGCACTTGGGTCAGGGCAATCCCAGGTGTTTATACAAACGGAGGGAAGATCTCCTTGAGAGCAACCCTACAGAGAAGGACTTGGTGTTCCTGGTGGATGAGAAGCTGGACATGAGCCAGCAGTGTGCGCTTGCAGCCCAGAAGGCCAACTGTGTTCTGGGCTGCATTAAAAAAGGGGTGGGCAGCAGGGAGAGGGAGGTGATTGTCCCCATCTACTCAGCTCTTGTGAGCCCCCATCTGCAGCACTGCGTCCAGGTCTGGGGCCCCCAGTACAAGAAAGACATGGAGCTCTTGGAACGAGTCCAGAGGAGGGCACTAAGATGATCAGAGGGCTGGAGCAGCTCTCCTGTGAGGAAAGGCTGAGGGAAGTGGGCTTGTTTAGCTTGGAGAAGAGAAGGCTCCAGGGAGACCTCATTGTGGCCTTGCAGTCCTTGAAGGGAGAGTACAAACAGGAGGGGAAATGGCTGTTTACAAGGGTGGATGGTGGTAGGACAAGGGGGAATGGTCTTAAACTGAGACAAGGGAGGTTTAGGTTAGATATTAGGAGGAAGTTTTTCACTCAGAGGGTGGTGACACACTGGAACAGGTTGCCCAAGGAGGCTGTGGATCCCCATCCCTGGAGGCATTCAAGGCCAGGCTGGATGTGGCTCTGGGCAGCCTGGTCTGCTGGTTGGCAACCCTGCACATAGCAGGGGGTTGAAACCAGATGATAGTTGTGGTCCTTTTCAACCCAGGCCATTCTATGATTCTGTGATTCTCATTCTGACATCCATGAGTAATGTTAGCACTCATGCCTCGGTCTTCACAGAAATCACTGCCCCATATCAAGGGTACTCAGAATGGTACCAAATGAATGTGAGTGCTTTCTCTCAAGTATTTGGAGGTTGTTTTCTCAAATTATATTGAATAGCCTAACTGTAACTGATTACTTGCAGAAGCTTATTCCTTCTGCTTGTGCTTCTTAGAAGCAAAAATCTCCAAAATTTACACATGCAGTAGTTGTTTTTAACAGCAGTCTGATCTTTATATGCTTAAAATGCTCATGCCAGCACTCTCAGTAAACATCACTTAAGAGATCTCAAAGGACAAACTGTGATTCAGCAGCAGCACAATCAGTATGTCAAAACTGTGAATTTGTTGGCAACTAGTGTGAATAGGATCTGCTGCTAATTTTATTGCTTCAAAGACTGTATAACTTGGAGTTTTCAGTAATTTTACTTGGTTGAGTGTCAGGAAAAGTATATTACTGTCTTATGTTTTCCAAGTCTGCTTATTTGAAACAGATTTCTAACTACAGGTTTCAGGTATGCAGGTTCCTCCTAAATTAGAAACTGTGAGTAACTATCTCTAAGATGAAGTTTTCTTGTTTTATTTTTTCTTGATTTTACAGGGCATTTGATACTCTTGCAAAAGCATTAAATCCTGGAGAGAGTGCAGCGTGCCAGAACTCTGAAAGTGTTGAGGCCAACGTGCAGCTTGGAGGTGGAGAAACAAGCATGAATATCGTTGAAATAGAGGGGCCGCTACTCAGTGATGCACACGTAGCATTCAGGGTACTTAATACTTTTTTATCCTTGGCTATTTCTAACCGTTTTAACATCGTAAGACAAATTAATGATCTGATTAAGTCATCTTTTGAATTTCTCTGAAGGGTAGCTATTCAGGTATTGCCATTCATTGCTGATGAATGCATGGCTTTTTGTTCGCTAGTTGGCTGTATGCTTGGGAGAATCGGCAGCTCTCCTCACCATTTCTATAGCACGGCTTATTTTACTGCCTCTTACCTTAAAAATATGGTTTGCATTAAACTGAAGTTTTGTGGATGCCCCGTCCCTGGAGGTGTTCAAGGCCAGGCTGGATGGGGCCCTGGGCAGCCTAGTCTAGTATTAGACACTGAGGTCAGAGGGCCTGCATTCAGCAGGGGGGTTGGAGCTTGATGATCCTTGGGGTCCCTCCCAACCCAAGCCATTCTGTGATTCATACGATTCTAGGATTAAACACATTTTGGTCTCTCATATTTCCAATGCAAATGTCAGTTTTGTTTTGTTTTAAATTCTGTTACAAACTGATTTCTGAGGATAAAATTTGGGGTCGAATCCCTCTTCAGATCTGCAAGTGAAAGTGGTGGTGGTGTTCTGTTTGTATTTTCTACATACTTTGCTATATGCTCTGAGCTACTTTGTTGTAATTGTGCAGCTGTTCTTCTACAGCTTCTGTACAGATTGTCTTAAATATTTTATTTCAGATTCTTCATCTCCAGGTGTTCCAGACATAAATCCTTATCTAAGTTAAGATTAAAAATTTTTCACTGTTTTGGTTGCTTTGTAGTCTCATTAGGGTATCACAGTGTGGCTAGTAAGGAGCAAAAAAAGCATTTGTTCTATTTTATTTTGGGATTATCTCATGGTTAATGAAAAAAATGTTAATTTTTTTCCCTTCAATCCTGGAAATGATTTTTCTTATTATGTTTCATACAAAGAAAGCAAAACAACTGACTTGCACTTTTTTTTTGTTTTGTGCCAGCTCACCATGCCTTCTCCTATGCCCGAATATCTTAACGTTCACTATATCTGTGAGACTGCCTCCAGGTTGCTTTTCCTGTCCATGCACTGGGCACGTTCCATTCCATCTTTCCAAGCTTTAGGGTAGGTGTTCAATTACTCTATTTGCTCATGTTGAGATTACACGCTTTTTAATTTGTTATTTGCACTGCCATCTTTGAGGACTTTTTAAAATATAAACCAGCTTAACAAAACTGTTGTATTGATCTTAAACACAAAGGTAAGTTCACTCAATCAAAATGATTCCCAGCTTCATTTCAAATCAAATACTTGGTTGAGTTTGGAAGAAAAAAGTAGATTCATAATGATCAAATGCCTGCTCACTGCCCTTCTTTAATAAATTTGCAGTAAGTAGGACTTCCTGTCATTTTTTAATAGCACCCCCTGAACTTAAGATGTGTATCAGTCACCAAAGAGAAGCTCCTTTCTGGAGCTCCAAATATTGCTGTCTTTATAGGTGAGTTAGTAATAATTTTGCATTTAATAAACAATATGAACAACATGCTAAGTTAATCCTGAATTTTTGCTGAACCAAAGTTTAGTTGCAGAGGATTTTCCAAAAACAAATGGTTGCTATAGCCAGGAAGTAATTGTTATTCTTTTCTTTACAGTTTGTGCAGCACTCTCTTTTTATAAGCAGAATTTGGCATATCACTAAAAATTCTGAAGCTGTATGTGGTACTACTTTACTGATCATCATGAAAAAAGATCTCAAGACAGCATGAGGAAAAGTGATTTTTATTACTTTCAGAAACCAAGATGAAGACTGTCATCAAACTGGCTGTGTTACAATGCGATATACATCTATCAGCCATGATACAAAGGAGGCACAAAATCATCTGTAGATCAGGATGTTCAGTGTTCTTCTTTAGTTGAATATCAAAATAGCATCCGATGGTGGTAGCAAAGAGAATTCCTGTTTATAGTGAGGGATTGTCCCCTTTACCAGAGATCTTGGCAGAGCATGGATGATCTGTATTTACTGAAGTGCTTAAGCTAAATCATTCTACGTTGTTGAAAATAGTGTATTCTGTATAACTGAAACTTCTCTTTTGAAGGAGTCAAGTTCTGTAAAACTAAACAATGACAAGCGGAGAAAATTGGGTAAATATGATACTTCAGTACAAATTGCTGCTGCAGAACCTGAAAATGCTTAGCAAATTAACATGGTGAACTACATCACTGCACATGTTTTCAGGTTTTTTTGTAAGACAGGTATTGCAAAGCGGTGTTGTAACAGCACATAGTTTTTCTAAAAAATAAAAGCCACAAAAGATCAGTCTGTACAAAAGGATTTAACAGATAAATAAGCATAGAAAATCTGCTTTTTAAAAATATATATATATTACTTCCCTTCCCTTACTACTTGTATAAGCAAGGGGAAGAATAGGCTGCCACAACACCTGTGTTAATACTCTCCTGAGTGCTAGCACTTGCAGTCCTAGTCCACATCATGGGCAATGGTATTTTAAACACCATTTAGCCATTTTCCTTTTGAAGGGCTGAAAATCCTAACATTGTTTTTCAAGTGGAGATTTATTTGAAATTACTGATCCTTTTTAAAGTTCAGCACATTATGCACTGTATAATTCTAACTTTTAGAAGAGTTACTCACATTGTCACTTATAATAAGCAATTTAATCCTAGCATGCAAACAGAAAAGCTTTTGATGCAGGACTTCATTTTGGTACTGGCTGCAGTGGTTGAATCAGATCAGTGTTTTATAAAGTGTTCTTCAAATTGAAAAACTGTGTAAGAGCAAGTGAATGATGTCATTAAGTGCAATTATTGTGTTTTTCAATTCAATAGACAGGATAACAGCATATCATTAGTAAAAGCCTGCTGGAACGAACTTTTTACGCTTGGTCTTGCACAGTGCTCTCAAGTCATGAATGTGGCGACTATATTGGCTGCGTTTGTTAATCACCTTCACGACAGCTTACAGCAAGGTAAGGTGCTGACTGAGCACATCTGCAGACTTAGGGAATTCATGGGTTTGAAGAGTTGAACTGAGCAGAAGCTGGTCACTTATCTATCAGTAGTTAATGAAAATCTACCATTCGTGGAAGTTAACAAAATAATGAGAACACAGTGTGGTTTTTTAAATCATTTTATTTGTGTATGATATCTGATAGCATTCTAGTTCTGTTAGGATACGTCACTCAAAATAGGAGTCTTTCAGGCAACACCAACTTTAAGAACACAGGGGTACTGTGAATATGATTCCTCTCTGCCTAGGATGTGAAGGAGGACCCAGCCGTCCCTGCTATTTGTAGCTGTGAAACAGCAGCCAAACGCCTCCTTTGTGATACAACCCCTTTAAATAATTTGGCTTATGTTTATATGCAGGTTGCTCTGAAAGTAACGCCTCCTATTTATTTTGCATGAAAACTACAGCAGATACACAGAGCACAATTAAGTCATTAGACAGAGCAAATGCTCTGCTACAAGACTCTATTTTTCAACACAGTCACCACCATTAGCTGCACGATTTTGCCAGAGATGAACAAGAGTCTGCGTGCTGCACTTGTAGCAATCTGCATCGCTGTCCAGGACGTGGCTTGTCTGCCATGTTGCTGTCACCACTGCTGAAATGCATCACCTCACTGTGCTCACATCCACTAAAGGAACTCATGCAAATGTACACTGATCTACTCCATCAATGAATTAAGTACAGTACCCGACTCTTAGTTGTACAGCATAGATCTGCAATAGCATGGTATTGTTCTTTACTGACAAGTAACCTTTTCTTTCCTTTTTCATTCGGAGCTGTAGTCCACCTCTGATTATTGGAAATGTTAAGTGGCAGGAATTGTTGGTGTAAAGATAATTCAGTTCAGTGTATAGAGTTTGTAGGTGGCATAGATTTTCTGCTGTTTGAATGTACTTTAAGTGGTGAATGTTTTTAAAATTCCAACGTGACTACACTTTTGCATGCCTCTTGACTTTGGGGTTTATGTATTTTGTGTGTGTGTCAACTCAGACAAGCTGCCAACAGACAGAGGAAAACTAGTAATGGAGCACATCTTCAAACTGCAAGAGTTCTGTAACAGTATGGTGAAGCTTTGCCTAGATGGATATGAATATGCATATTTGAAAGCAATTGTACTCTTCAGTCCTGGTATGTAATCATTCTTAATGTAAAACTTTATTCTTTTTCTGTGACTATGGAGACTTGAGTGGTCAAAAGTTGGCTTAAAAATCCATATCTAAAATCTTTTGTCTTCCACAAAGGCATATTTTAGGTAAGTTGTTTTTTTTTTTTCCTCGTGTCCTTTTAAAGGCTTATAGAGAAAGGAAAAAGAGATGGAACTGCTTTAGAAAATAAGGAAGTAACATCAGATAAGTAGGCTGTGTGGGAACTGGGATGAGCATGCTCATCAAGTCTTCGGTTTTGAAAGTCAGGGCTTTGCTAAATGGACAAGATTCATGAGGTGACAAAGAAGTATCTGTATGTGTGTTATTTTTTTCCATATGATTTCTGTTTCATTCGATGCTGCTGCTATTACCTCTAGAATCTCTGCGTCCCTTGTTGAGGAACCCGGGAAGGTGTAATGGATGACACAGGACAGTAGGAAGAAGAGGGTTTCTCTTTTAATGAAAATAGTTGGATGATGATGATGCTTTTGCCTCTGCTATCTATTTATTACTTTTAAATGTATGTCTCCATTCTGGGGTACTACTTCTGAGGGCCTGGAGTTTAATTTTCAGAAGTATTGTTCCTATGCTTCCTGCTGAGGTGAATCCAAGTTATGCTTTTAATATATGACAACCTTTCCAAGCCTTGATTCTTGCATATAAAATCACAGTAACGTATGACCTCACTTCACATGAGTATTACGAAAATGAATATTAAACATAGCATTTCCTTTTGTTTTTGTTTTCTGGTCAGTATTTGCATAATGTCCTGTAAGTAAAGTTAACTGGCTATTCATGAGGCAGTGGTGCTAAAATAAAATGACTATTTTTTCCTTCTGAGTGATCAGTCCACACTGTGGAGGAGTAAAGGTTCTCTGGTTAAGACAGAAAAGGACTGAGTAGATTCCACGACAAATGCAGGCAGCCTGTAGAAAATGACAAAACTAAATTTCTTTTTCTGAAAACTGTAGAATTAACTTTTCAGTAAATGCATTCAGATATTCTGTCTTCATGCTGCAGGTCATAGATTTCATTCAGAATTTAGGAATTTAATATAAAAATGAGTATATTTTGATTAAAAAAAAAAAAAAAAAAAAGTAAACCTCAAGTATTTTTTGTATCACCAGGAATTTTTCACTGTTTGATTTAGCAGGTAAATATAGAGTTGTTCTATTTTGCATTAGGAAAGTTTAAAAGCATGAGCAGCTTCTCGTTGCTCTGTGTTTTCTAGATGCTGTTGTTCTGTGGAAAAGATCAGAATGTATTTTAAAAGCAGTGTGAGTCACAGTGTAGTCTGTCTGTTGTGTGGGATGTGGCAGAGAGCTGGATGGTCCCTGCCACTTCTGTACGTGTCTTAGGTCTGAGAAGAGCTGTCTTTTTCAGTTCAGTTGCAGTTCACCCTTTCCAAGAGAAATCAGTTGAGGTGAAAAAATCTTCTTGAACTGTGGCGCTTCAAAAGTATAAATTTTAAGCAAGTTTTCTGATATGTATATAAAAGAACACAAGTTATCTTTTCTTTAAGTGGTATCCTCAAAGAATATCCACATCTTCCAGAGAAAGTGTCAGCATCAGCACAAATACATGAAATTTGGCTAAGTGCATAACAAAACCTTATGTGTCTTCAGATTTTCCCCCTTTTTTGTTTTTTCCTTCTCTTTTTGATATTGCTCTTTTGGAAGACCTCTGAGATTAAAGACCTTCCTGCAAATGAGAAGCCTTTTAAGTAATGTCAGAACCCCCTATTAAAGATGAGAGATTCACAGAGGAGATCCCAGAGAGTTCTTTTGTTCTAAAATCTTTTCAGAAAAATCAGACCCTGAATATTTTCACTGTAGAGCATAACCTTGTTACCAGCCCTCGTGACTTGAAGAATTTTGCACGGTTTTGTGTTTGCTTCTGTAGTCCAGTGAAGCACAGGAACTATTTCAGTTTTCTGATAAGCAGTATCCACTATGGGTCTAATTTCATAGAATCATAGAATGGCCTGGGTGGAAAAGGACCACAGTGATCATCTAGTTTCAACCCCCCTGCTATGTGCAGGGTCGCCAATAATTTCAATATTAAGAGTGCTTGAAAATGTTTATGATTTTTCCTTCCTTCCTGCTAAGGATTGAATACACAGACTCAGAGGCTTCCTTAAGGTGAGGGGTAAGAAGGTGTCTGCTGCTTTAAATTTGGTAGGTCATGCTTGCAGGAGATTTAATTCACTGTTAAGCATTCCTTACCCCCAAAGCAGTCCTTTCGTGCCATTCCTATACTTGTAACTAGCACAGGTTCCTCCAGGAAACAATTGATAGCAGAATGTGTTGACCTGACTGAAGAAATCAATCCTGTTACAGACCTGAAAATATTTCCTTAGAGAGCTTACACCTTTAAAGCAACAATTATTTCTTTGGTCAGCCTAAAGTTAGCTTGTTTCCTTCCAAATTGCATTCAAGGATTGAAAAGGTAGGACAGATATTCTAGGAAAAGCCTGTATCAAGTCAGGTGACTGGACTGACTTTTCTGTAGGTCACGTGCTTTTATGATCACATTCCTGAGGATGTGCAGCTGCTTTAATGTTGGCATATTGACTCATAAGCCAATATTCTTGACAGTATACATGCAAGACATAAAAAACTTACAGCAGTGCCCTGAACAGAAGGGATATTCTGGTAATGATTTATAGGCAAGAAATTACAATTTCAGGGATTTTACTGCTCCGCTACAGGATGGGGCTGGACTGCACGTGCAGCAGTCCTGAGGTAAGAACATCTGCTTTGGTAGGCTCTGCTGCTGTGCCGTGTGCCATAGCTGGAGGTTGGAAGATTAATGAAAATCTTCTGTGCTGCTCCAGCTGCATGACTGTAGCAAGTCATGAATGCAAGGGAGTGCCTATGAGACTTGGCATCTGTATAGATTGCTACTAGCATGCTAGCAGTCTGCAAGAACTGGTTTGGAAGCAGACTTCTAGCATTTTCTGACATTGCTCTAGAAGCAACGTCATGCAGCAATATATGTTGCATGTCAACAATAACTCTTCAAAATCTCTTGCTTCCTTTGCTAACCTCCTGTCATCTGCATTGATTTTTTACAAATAACATCACTCAATTTGTCATGGTATTATGACAGTAAAATGTTTACATTAAGCCAGATGGAAAATAAAGATTAAACTGTGTAAAGGGGTCAGAATCACCAGATAATAATTTCCAATTGTGACTTGGCCATTAGATTAAATAACCCTTCATTCCTGCAAAATTTAGGAAACAAATAGTTCATAGCTTTTTTTTCCCTCCCTATGTGTATTTATCTTTTTTTTTTTTTTTTCCTCACAAATGCTAATTGTGCACACAGAATTTCAATAAATATCAATGCATTGGAACAGTACTGTTCTATGTGACACAGAGAACAGAGGTTTATTATCAGGAATGATGTAAACACTGCAAGCACTGCACATGTTTGAACTTTTCCAGTTGTCTGGTTGTTTTTATGAACAGTAAGGTAAAACATCAGCATAGAGGAAGAGAAATAAGGAGGTAAAGCAGCATTCTTCATTAAAACTGTTGGAGAACTGAAAGTTGCTGCTGCTATCAAATAATCATTTCAGCATGCTTACAAGTAGATAATTGGTACAGCTTTTAACACGTGTTGGTGTGACAGGTGTAACAATGTAGGGTGTCTTTCAGATCACCCAGGGCTGGAAAATGTGGTACAGATTGAGAAATTTCAAGAAAAGGCATACATGGAGTTCCAAGACTATGTAACAAAAGCATATCCAGATGATACTTACAGGTGCGTACGCTTTCGTGCTCACTTGATGGTTCTCTTTTCAAAGCATCAGTGATGCACTGATTTGCACAGTATTACTTAGAGTAAACACATATATTTTCTTCTTACCTTCTTAAAGCTTAGAAATGACTTTTAGAACACTTAAAATATTTAAGAGCTCATACATATTGTGATTATCGTTTACCTAATTATTATTAATTTCCAAAATGAAATACTGGAAGATAGAGGAAGTGTTTCTTTCATTTTGAATTGCACCTATTTGTAGTAATTCCTCATTTAGTCTAATCCAAATATTGTTCAGTCCATTGACTAATATATGCACAATTTTGGTGCCGTCGAAGAAATGACTGACTGTAAAGATAGCATTTTGATCTAAGTATTTAAGCCTCTCATGAAGTAAATATAGCAAATTTCTCTCGCCGTTGTCCCTTACTCATGTTTTGTTTTCTTCTCAGTAACATGGCTGTGGATAAGGCCAAAATGTGTGACCAAAGTGACTTTTTGCCAAACTTCCTTTTGCAGACTGTCTCGACTTCTTCTCCGATTGCCTGCCCTGAGGCTGATGAGTGCTGCCATTACTGAAGAGCTGTTCTTTGCAGGACTAATAGGAAACGTTCAGATTGATAGCATCATCCCGTACATTCTGCGAATGGAGACGGCAGACTACAACACTCAAATAATCGGTCATGCCGTATAAAAGTAGCAACCAAGGATTCTGTACCATGGCAGTCATGGTGATGTAAATGCATACTCTGTCTCCAAGAGATGGCAATAGGCCTTCCCACGCACCTTTCTAAAGAAGACTCGTGTTCCTCCTTTCCAGTACGCTTGGGAAATGCGGTGGAGTGTCTTAAGGAATATAGGATCGCTTCCTATTTTTCATCTGATCTTCAAGGACTTGTAAATTAACTTGATATCTGAGGAAAGTCAAGAATTGTTCATCCTATTTTTGTAGATAGATGAACTTGGAATATTTGTTTATGAAATGCAGGCTTGTGAAGAAACGGAAGAAGCTTTGACTGAACTAAGGTATCTCAACTTAGTTTGGTGTTTTAGACAAATAAATTAAGTTTCCTCTCTGCGTTGTGTTTTCAGTGTTTTGCTGCTAGTTCTTTCTCACTGATTAAATGGAAAATAAGACCAAACGTCTTGAAAAGGGCATTGTTTCTATGGAAGGGAGACATTTATAACCAAACTTTTATTTTCTATTCTTTTGGAAAGAGATTATTTCAGGTTGAATGAAGCAGTGGATATTGTTATAAGAGCAGGGAAGGTAGAGGAATTTCACACTTTAAAATATTCTGCTTACATGTTGGTGCAGTTGATCAAAAGTAAAGCTGCAAAGGATCAGTATTGACTGTTCTGTGGATGCAAGGGTATACTGTGCTGTAATATTGTGTGTTGGTAGATATCAGCTGTTTGATACTATGAAAAATTGAGAACTGTGTACTGCAGGTGTTCAAAGAGAGCAGCCTCCTATTTTTTCTGCTCTCAAAAGTTAAAGATTTTTCACAGTACTCTTTCCTCTTTCAAACTCAGCACACAGGGAGGGAGGCATTCGAGATGTGTCTCAGTTTTCTTTCAACCACTTTTATAAGTAACGAATCTTGTTTAGAATTCTGTGCATGTGTTCATATCATTTCTCTTGGATAGGACTTTGGTTTGTTGGTTTTTTTTAATTATTGTTATCCTCTGGCTATTTAGCTGTCTTTTCCAGTCAGCCAGTCTCATGTGATTATTTTTTAAATTAGAAATTATTGAATCCAGTACTTCTGTTTATACAAGATTGGTCTCTGCTGCTTTGCCTGTCCTTGTTAGAAATGAGTCTAGATTATGTATGTAGACTGAATTACACATCATGGCTCCATAAAAGATGGGTTCGCATGCTTTCCTGTCTTGAGGAACGTGCCTCATTGTCAAATAACACTGATGGTTGTTCACTCCTAGCTTCCTTTTGCAATGGGAAACTATGTATTCCTAGCACATTTAATATCTGTTGCTTAAAATTAGAGATTCTAGGAAAAGTTATGGTCTGCTGCTGACAGCAGCTTGCAGGTTTATCTAAATCTTGGATTGAGGCCTAGTTCCATTTATCCTGAACTTTTTAGTTCTGTGGCAGCATTGAGTGAGGAAGAGCCCAATTAGCCAGAATTAGCCAGAAGATCAGCTTTGAGGGGGGCCTTTGCCCCTTTGTACCTGCAACTCCAAGGCCATGCCTCAAGGCCATTGAGAGGACAGGTAGATGAGATTTTGGTATTTCTGTGTTTTTTCTCAGCACCCAAGGATTTCAGCCAGCCAAAAAGAAGCAGAAAACTGACACTGAATTATTGTGTCCTTTTTAATTCTACTAATAGAGTTGTTTGGATCTTTCACTGGCCACCTTCTAACCAGAGGCTGTACTACAGGATTGCTCATACACGGACCCAGAGATGGAAATGCTTGGTGCTGAGGACCTCTGATGGGATGGAACCATTCTCCCCTGCTCTGAATTTGGCATGTAGCGACTTTCTGGAGAACAGCCTTTAAAGATGCTGGAGCTTCCCACGTGACTGAGCCCTTCCCACAGTCCATGTGTTGAAAGGAGAAGGATTGAGGCTCTGTATTCGTGTTCCCTGGAGTTCATGAAGTGTGAGGACGTTTTTTCTGTCTCAAGAGGGCAGTAGTCATGGAAATGTGAAAGACAACGGCTGCGAATATGCTGTGCTTGTCTCCTCCCAGTGGTTATTGGCCCCGCCATCTTGCCGTCTGTAGGACCAAATTGTGGATGGGAAGTGAATTGTTCTATTCGTGTTTCCTCAGAAAGTTGGACCCTGTCTTCCAGCCCTTCTCTGTTGCTAGCAGGAACAGTTATACTTGTTTTAGACCTTTCAAGGAAGTTGCCAGGAGGTTACTCCTGAATAATTTGTAAATGGTTTACCAGGCATTCCAAATATTGGAAGAATTTGATTCCCAATATTCTCCAAATTCAGATAACCCATTTTCCTTCTAAATGCAGTAGAGACTGCAAATCTCTCCCGCATCATTGCAGATTTATATTTTTTTAGCCTTTGGGACCTGTGCCTCAGGCATGACAAGCAGTTCTTTGTTTGCAGCTTACCAGAAGATTCAGCAAATGTGGTTTTTGCATGGTATTGTTTCTCAGAAACAGCTGAGAAAATACCAGTGTTTGTAGAGAGGTACATCTTTAGGGATTGAATCCTTCAGCATATCTGTCTTTGAGAGCCGAGTTTTGAAGGATGTGGCCATAGAAATTTGCTCTGAAATTCTGCTTGTTCCCCGTTCACGCCGTAGTCTGAATACAAGTTGGCCTACTTCAGGGAAGTGTGAACTGCTGTCACTGCTGACTGCTGGATCAGGACATCTTTGTTAGGCTGTGTTAACTCAGAAGCACAAGAACCACGGTGACATTCTTTTTGGATGCCTGTCACCTCTGCATGGCAGCAGAACTTTCAAATCTCAGTGGCTGACATTTCCCCTTCCCACATCTCTTTCTGTTACTCTCCTGGCAAAATCTTTTGAGCTTCGTCTGAGATTTTTGCCAGATCACTTAAATCAAGAATTCAGTCCATCCATGTTTTTCTTTTTAAATCCAGTGTTTCCAGATGTGAGACTACGCATTCTGTGTTGGGTAGCAAGAGACATGTGTCACACCCTTTCACGTGACAAAAACTTGCAGATATCATAGAATCTAGTTTTCTCAGGTGAGAAGTCAAACAGGACGCTCCAAGCTCAGTTACAGACTCTGTTCCCTCTTTTGATAGCAGTATACTTGAGTCACCATCATTAATGAGGATGTACTCTAGTAGTTCCCAGGCTGCGTTTGGGGCTTTGCTCAATATCTGTATAGTATTGTTACAAAAGGGAAAGCTAGTTCAAGAGATCTTCACATTGCCAAGAAGTGGCATACAGTTTTTATGTATTGTGTGGCTATTGGCATACTCATCCAAAAAGAAAAGGTATTTATCTCAAAAAGATTCCAGTTACTTCTGCTGTGCATCTGTGCGATAACCACATGCCCTCCCTTCCCCTTGCTGTTGGTGGCTAACCAAATGTAAGCTCCATACTGACTGTCAGGTGAAACAAAAGAGGGAGACAGATGCATGTACACCTGAGGGTTACCTGAGGGGTAAGGGCCTCCCCAAAAAACCATGATCTTGGATACCTCCAATGTTTGGACTTGTATAGAGTGAATGTGCAGATATGCAACACACTGCAAAAAGTGCTGCCTACTGGTAAGTAACCTTTTTCCCAATGGTTGTTGCATTTTTTCTTCATAAATGTTCAGTGTAAGTGCAGTAGGTTAAAGGCGTGCTGATCTGTGCTGCCTGGCGAGTATTCTCTCCTGTCTTCTTGATGATCAAGAAGGTGGATCCCATAGTGCAGGTGGCTGCGTTTGTATTATTCACTTTTCTTACCAAGACTTTTCATTTATCCTTTTGGGTTCTTTAACTGTGAGTTCATGCTCTTGATGAGGAGTGAGGTACAACTGGGCTTTCTCAGGAATGGGCTGCCCTTCCTGCTGTTCAGTCACACTGTTGTTCAGCCAACACAAATGCGAGCAGTAAGGCTCACTTCACTGTAGATGTTAAAGTACCTCATTATTTTTGTGACCTTTATGTTTTATGTTTTTAAACCTTCTGATCTTCAGCATTCTGAAATTTTCCATACCTCGTCAGAATACAACTAAACTGCAACACTTACTACTAATAATTTGCTTTGCCAATGAATGAACAAGCTCTGTTATGACAGCTTTAAAATGTTCAATGTTGTGAAAATTCATTTCTGTATCAATCACATGAATGGAAGAAATGATACATTTGGAATCCTGTCCCTTCAGATGGGAGCAGTGATACACAGAACAAATGGACTAGTTTGGAAGTGTATGTTGTGCATATATATATGAGTTTAGGGGGCTTGGTTCATACTGGTAGAGTTCCTGATACAAACAATTGTTCTACTTTAAACTTGCTTCAAAAGCACTTTCACTGCAGTACCTTCTGCACTTATAACCTGTTGGTACCTCTCTTCTGTGACCATTGGCTTCAGTGAAAGTCACTGCTCTGTTACTCTGTTCAGCAGCTGTGGTTTCCCAGCACAGGCATTAGAATATCGCTGTACCTGTTCTGCTGTGGTATAAAAAATTCATTGTAAATGTCTTGAAACCTGAATTTGTAAAGGTCTATTTTGGCTGTATTTTTAAAAATAAATTGTAACTTCCTGTTAGAGAAAGCAATAGTAATCACCTGTCTGTTAGTGTTCTACACAGGTTGTCTTACAGCCTGAAGCAGTGTGTATGATTCCAAAGAGTCTGGATATTTCACTTTACTGTACAATGATGTGTTGTCAATAGATTCGTTCTCTGGGATTTGTGACCACTGCAGTATCTTGCTGTTCTCTACCCCTGTTGCTGTGAACTCTTTGTTTTTGTGCTTACTGCTCCTTTCTGCCCTGGGAACTTGGCTATTTGGAAATTAATGATTTGTTATAGAATTGAATTTAACAACATTTTTTTTTCTTTTAAAGCACTACATATAGCCGTTGGTATAATGAATTCTGATCACAGATCTTCATGCCAAGTAAAGTAATAGTTATTTTTGGGGAAGTTTATTCAATTCATTATGGATTGTGAAATGATGACAAGTTTGGGTCCTTTCTAGAACTGATTTCCCAGTGCCAATTGAAGAGCTGTCTGGTTTTTTTTTTAGTCTTCAGTTACAAGTGATTGTGATGTTTGCGTTAATATGCAGATAGCAAGAACAAATGAGAAATGAGATGCCATTCTCTCCTTGCCTAGATTCTGAAATGCATTCATCCTGAAGTAAATGAAGTACTGTGGAGTAAGTAGGTAATGCACTGTAGAGGAAAGCTTTGTATGCTGTAAGTGTGGGTAATGCTGATGAGGGAATAAGCAGTCAGACTCTCTTCCTCCTCCGTTAGCAGGTACTCCAGTTGCTTTGTTGCTTCTGTTTTAAAAACTTACCCTTCCCTGCACTTCCACAGAACCCTGTTCTCTGGTCAGACTGCTAATCTACTACCTGTTCCTTCCCATACCAGTCATATTTCACAGCCTTTTGGTCACCTCTGAGGGAAGAAAGGAAGAGCTCTCTAGACAGAAGTGCTCTTCTGGTAAATAACAAAAGTCTAGACGGCAGCGTCTTCAACCAACATCTCTAACAGTCCTGTCTTTCCTCCTCATACTTCTGTATAAAGTAACCCCAAATAACGATTCTGCTTCATCATGGGAGCCCTTCTCTCCTGAGCTCTGCTTTTCCTTTATGTGCACAAAGTCACATTAACCCATGCCTGTAAGCAGTCCTGTTCAGCCACTTCAGTCTTCCTTTTACCCTCAGCTCTGCAGTGTGAAATACTATCCTCACCCTGATGTGCTACTGCTAATATGTAACACAATTTTCTGCTACATTAATCTTTTATCAGAACTCGGGTTGTGCATTTTGGCTCCAGTGTAGGAACCAAATGTATCCTGAGTCATGGCACTGGAGCTGACCTCCGTTCGAAGCAGTCACTCCAGGACACATGGGGTTTTTGTGGCTGCTGACGCTGAACACATACATAAGCTCCACTATGGAGACCTCAACCCTGCTTTACCTTTGGGTCTTACCAGAGAGCGAGCTGAATGGCTACATACTTTGGTTTATGATAGCTCTCATGAAAGTTTTTCTTTCACACTGTAGCCAGTGGAATTTTGCTGTTGGGAAATGAAAGGTAGAGGCAGCTGCTGAGTGAGATGGCCCAAGCACTTCTCAAGAAGCGGCATGAGTCTTCTAAAAGTGCCACCACAGTTGGTTTTGAGTGTTTTAGTATTGTCACAGAAGTATGTCACACTAGAATGTTTGTGGGGTTTTTTGAAAACTACAGAATACCTCCGTTCTTCAGTAAGATCGCACCTGGAGCCTTGGCTCCACACCGTGAATCAATCTCTTAAAGCAGCGGAAGACAAGTGAAAAACTTTTTGATCGTGCTTTTGGGAAATGTGGGTTATAGGAGGGCTACAAATCCAAGAGGGAAAGCATTAGAGATTGCACTGTGCAGACCAGAGTGAGAGGAACTACAGTTAGAGGCTGGGCCCACAAAATGTAAAGAATGGTGATGTGAATTTGACATTGCTTCTGAGACTCAGAAATTTTAGAAGGATGGGGCAGATTTTCAAAATCTACATAGCTGGGTTGTTGTGTGTTGGGTTTATTATTTTAATTGCAAGAGGAATTCCAATTAATTATGCAAATGTATATTCCTTAGTTGTGAAATCATTGCAGCATAAACTTACATGACTTCTCATACAAAGAACAGAAGGAATTGCAGTGGGATAAACAATTATATATATTGTAAGGTAAAATGTAAATATTGAATTGCTCTGTGGGTTGGTTTTTTACACTTTCTGTGAAATACTTGAACTTGGGTTTCTCAAAATCAATTTATCACTGAATAAAGCTCTTAAAAAAATAAAACATAGGATTCAATGAGACTCTTCTTCGCAATCATTGGATCATTCAAGAAATGGATTTATCTTCAAAAAATGTGTTCTTGTGTTCTACACTGTGATTCTGTATTAGAAAAGAAAGAGCTAACTGATATGTTCAGGACTTGTGTAGAATGGCATTCTGTCACTGTGTGCGACTTGTTGGAACCACAGGGGAAAAAAAAAACGAGCATTAAATTTGATTAGGCAGTTTTTAAGACAGTGAAGTTCAACATACAAAACTAGGGGCACAGCGTATCTAACAGAGATTTAGCATCAAATCTTAGAAACTGGGAATACAGAATTATTTATGGGACCATGAGTTTTACAGTCAAGTGAATGCTATCTTCCAAAGGTACCCCAGTATAAATTCTTAGGAAAGCATTATGCTTGTGCTTGTATTCTACATTATTCAATCACGGTATCTGCATAGAGTTTGAAGATAACATTGAACAGAGCAGTAAGATAGAGTTTTCATGAATGGTAACCAGATGTTAGCAAAAGCACTGTAAGTAGATGCAATAGGATTTGAGCACTGGGACTAATGGCAATGAAATTCTTTGTGGAGACTTACTTGGCTTGAGGAAGAATCAAAATGCAATGTAAAGATGCTGTAAGAAGTTCCTGCTTCTACGAATGTTGTTCCATAAAAGCTTCAATAAGCTGTACGATTAAGGTTGCATTATGACACTAATCACAGAATCACAGAATTGTAGGGACTGGAAGTGACCTCCAGAGATCATCGAGTCCAGCCCCCCTGCAAAGCAGGCTCCCTACAGCAGGCTGCACAGGTAGGCGTCCAGGTGGGTCTCGAGTATCTCCAGAGACAGAGAGTCCATAGCCTCCCTTGGCAGCCTGTTTCAGTGCTCTGTCACCCTTACTCTGAAGAAGTTCCTTTGCATATTGGTGCAGAACTTCCTATGCTCCAGTTTATGGCTGTTTTCCTTTGTCCTGATCCCACAAACCACTGGAAAGAGGTTGGCCGTGTCTCTTTGACTCCCACACTTAGTAGGATATTTATAAACATTAATCAGATCACCTCTCAGTCTTCTTTTCTCAAGGCTGAACAGGTTCGCTCAGCCTTTCCTCACAGGGGCTCCTGGCCCTTTAACATCTTTGTGGTCCTCTGCTGGACTCTCTCCAGGAGATCGCTGTCTTTTTCGCATCGGGGAGCCCAGAACTGGACACAGTACTGCAGGTGAGGCCTGAAATCCCTTCTCCCAGCTTGGAGTTACAAAGTGCCATCCTCCAGAGCCGTCTCAGTGTAACCACAAGGACACACGGTGCCACATGGATCCATGAAGTGACCCAGCTTATCCATTGTAACCCTCGGGGAAAAAGATACAAACAAACCTCTCAGACCGCTGCCAGCAGAGAAAACGTTCTCAGAATTAAATTCTTAGTCAATGAAGATGACCAGGTTCACCAGTTTCGTGAATATCCTTAGAAACTGGTTTGGGAGTTGCAGCTGCTTAGTGATCCAAAAGTTGGCTGGCCTCTTTTTAAAAACTTCTTTTTCACAGATCTTTCTTCTTGCAGCAAAACAACGGTTTGTGAAGTTAAAGAACAACCGAACGAGCACTGCGCAGCCTCGGAGCTCGGCGCTCCGCCCATCCCATCACCGCCGCCCCGCCCCGTGCGCGCCAATCGCGGCGCCGTCCCAAGATGGCGGAGTACGTGCAGGTGATGAAGCGGGCCTTCAAGCACCTCAGCGGCCACGGCGGCGTCCGCGGCGCCATCTTGCAGCTGCTCAGGTAACAGGGAGCGCGGCGCGGCGCGCTTGGAGCGAGCAGCGGGCGGCTCCCGGCTCTCGCCTCGCCCCCCCTCCCCGTCCCGTGGGGTCACCTTGGCGGCCGCTCCGGGTCCGGGCCGCGGGCCCTGGCGGCTGTGCCCGGAGAGCAGAGCTCAGCGCTGCCCCTCAGCTCTTCTCTTCTGGGCTGTGCAAACCGAGGAACCGCAGCTGCTCCTCACACGCCTTGCCTTCACACCTTTCACCATTTCTGTAGCCCTCCTTTGGGTGCTCTCTAGTAGCTTTATGACCATTTTGTACTGTTGTGCCCACACATAGTGCTTGAGGTGAGGCTGCAGAATAGAACAGGACAGTCTTTAACATCAGTACACCAAAAATCAAATTATTCTGGCTTTGTGTGCCTGGAGACGTTTTCCTTGGTCGGGGCTCACTGAAATTGGCTGAGAAACATCCTTTGGAGGTTCTAAATGCCTCTTAGTGTTTGGTGTTGGTGCTCAGGGCACGAATGCCAGAACAAGGCATAACAATCCTTACGAGGAGGGGAAGGAAAGAAGGAAGGGAGAGCAGTGATGGAACATCCCTTTTCCTGAGGTTAGTTGCTTAGGCTTAAATTATGTGGGAGTCTGAGTGCTTCTTTAAGTGATAAGTGAACTCCAGCCAAAGAAGCATGGGTGTACATGTGTTCTGTCACTTGGCACTGGATGGAGAGTGCCCAGAGCACAGCAGGCAGCTGAAACTTTATGTGATCCTGCCTAAGGTGAATGTCAATGAAGAGGGGGGAAAAAATATGCAGATCTAGGTGGGGGAAAACACTTTAAAACATGTCAGTGGAATGCAAGTCATAGGTGTGCCTGTGGTACTCACTTCACATGATATTTAAGGTTTATGAACTTCTGAACAGCCCTCCAAGGCCTGTCTGTATGACTTCATTGTCCTGTCAGTGGGGCACACAGTGAAGGCAAGCTGCTGTCAGTTGCAGGAATTGGTGATTACGTTTTGCACTTCTTAAGTCTGAGTATTTTGGGGTTCCTTTGTTTGTTTTGCTTTAGATACACGTGTTTGAGTTTTAATTACAGATTTTTGCTAACCTCTAAAAAAAACTGATACTGCAATTTCACTCTGAGACAAAGGTAATCAAAGCTGTTCTGGGAATTCACAGGGTCAACGAATTGAAGACTGGTACACTGGTAGGAGTTGACAAATACGGAAACAAGTACTATGAAGACAAAAGAAACTTCTTTGGTACGTGTGCTGATGTGACCACCTCCTGAGTGGCAGCCCAGCTCTACTGCTGGTGAATTAGGATTTATTGCCTGCCCATCTTCCTTGCTCTTTGCTTAGTGCTCTTTGCACTAAGTTCACTAATGTAAGACTGCAGTGACAATAAAAGTGCAGAAAACTCAAAAAGAACCAAATCCTGGTCTGCTTCCTAGTCATAGCTGTACTTATCTTGCAGTGATGGCCCATAATAGCAGATATTTTTAGGCAAAATAGTTTTCCTTATGTTTTCATGCTTTTTCTACTTTATGTGAAACTAATTTCTTAAGTTTATACAGTGTTTCTGTTCATTTAATCAAGGTCGACACAGATGGGTCATATATACTAGTGAAATGAATGGCAAAAATACATTTTGGGAAGTTGATGGAAGTATGGTGCCCCCTGAATGGTAAGACATTTGACTTAGTAACTTGAATACATTGTGTAATTGCATGTATGTGTTCTTGTATTACAAAGCAGAAGATAAAAAATAATACATCAGTTTTTGGCGATAAGTTTTCTTGGAGGCAGCATGATAAAAAGGCTTCAGACTGCTTAGTTTTCATTTCAGGTTAGAAAGGTTTTTGCTGGATGCTTAAGTTGCAGAAGAAGGGTACCATTTGACACAGTGTTCCCGTAGATACAGAAGTTCTTCCTTGATTAAGCTGCACACTGTTTAATGAGAGAGAGGAGAAAGCTGGTAGAAAATCTACAGTGCTGCTCAGTGTGTCCAGGAGTGCTCTGTGCAGGCACAAGTGCCTGTTCTTGTAGCTTCTCTCCTTTTCAAAGCCCCATTCTTTTCTTGGAAAGAGGTGTTCAGTATTCAGAAATGTTGGAACAGCCACAGGATCACAGGATGGGCAGGTTATGCTTTAGGCTCTGGGAAGCACCACAACCCAGATTTTTGATTTGTGCGTACTCCAGCAAAAAAAAACCCAAAAACAACAATGCAGCTTTCAGACACTGCAGCTGAAATGTAAAATGTTGTATATATGTGCAGATGTATGGAATAGGTTAAAAATTATGTGGGCATGGGAGACAGAGTGACGTGGCTCTTATTAGAACATCTGAGCAGTGCGTGGGTAGGCTGTCTAGGCAGTCAGTTTTGCTTCAAACTCCCCCGTCTTCAAATTACGTTTAATGCAGTTAATGCTTTCTCTTTCATCTCTAGTATGAGTTTTGTGGCATCAGTTTTTAGAAGTGACATTAATATCTGAAATCTCCACG